CGGGCAGCAACATCGGTAGCCACGAGGATCTCACGGGAACCGGCGCGGAACTTATTCAGGGCACCGAGACGAGCAGACTGCGAGAGGCCACCGTGGAGAGGGATGGCGCCCATACCGAGGGTGCGGAGCAGGATCGCAATGCGCTGGGTTTCTAGCACGGTTCTGGTGAAGATGATGATGGTCTGGCCCGCGAACTCGTTGCAGAGGTAGACCAGGTAGGTGTCCTTGTGCATGTGCGGGATGAAGACGTAGTTGGACTTGAGCGTCGAGACGGTCGCGTACTTGTTGGAGGATACGCTGACCTTGAGGGGGTCCCGCAACGAGGCGCGCTGCAGAGACTCGACCTTGCTGGACATGGTGGCGGAGAAGAGGAACGTCCGGCGCTCGCGGGGAAGGAACTTGAGGATCTTTTCGAGAATTGGACCGAAATCCATGTCGAGCAGACGATCGGCTTCGTCCATGACCAGGTACTGCATGGAACGCAGACTGAAGCCCTTGGTCTTCTCCAAGTGGTCGAGCAGTCTACCGGGAGTCGCGACAATAACGTGGGGCTTCTTGCCGAGAGCAATCGCCTGTGTCACCATGTCCATACCACCCAAAATCAGAGCGCATCTTAGCGAGATCAAGCTACCGAGCGCTTCAAAGGCTTGGGCGATCTGGGCTGCAAGTTCTCTTGTGGGCGCAAGGACGAGGGCGAATAGAGGGGCCGGCTTGTCGAGGAGCGCTTGTAGGATGGGAAGGGCAAAGGCTGCTGTTTTACCGGAACCAGTCTCGGCAATACCAATGATATCGCGGTTTTGGAGGGCGAGGGGAATCGACTGTTCTTGAATGGGGGTCGGGTTCTTGTATCCGAGACGTTCGCAAGCTTCGCAGAGGGCGTCGACAATTCCCTGTGTAGGACATAGGTTAGCACCGCTTCTTTACTTTTTTTGGTACAGCACTGGCATGGACCAGCCTAGTTGACAAGTAAACATACAAGATCCTTAAAGGTCTTCTTAACAGTCTCAACCTCCTCCTGTTCCGGGGCAACGTCGAGAGTCACGGAGTCCTCTTCTGTCGAGTTGGTGGCGGGAGTTGACTCCTCTGTTGGCTCTGGCGCATCTTGTTTCTTTTCCGTCTTCTCTGCCTTCTTGGTGCTGGACTTGTCCTTGGTCGACTTATCCTTGACCTTCTTGTCTTTTTTCAGCTCGGGTGCACTAGGAGCAGCCGCCTTTTTGAGGACGCTGGGCTCGTCAGAAGTTTTCCTCCGTTTTGTCGACATGATGGTCAGTGATAGCTATGGTAAATAATGGGAGTGGACCGACGGTGTTCGCTACGAAGGGCGGATGGACTTCCCAGTGAACTTTTATGTCACTTTCCATTGATCTTCCCCAAATTTCCAGGCTTATCGGTTGGCGGGTCCTGCACGATAAGCCCCTGCCCCACCGAAATTTTTGTCAGAATGGGCCATTGTCCCAAGCTTCTCCATCAGGGACGGCCCCCCATTGACATTTGCCTGCACAGTTCTGCTTCAGTGTTCGAGTCTGCCAGTTACAGACCTTTAAATCAAATCATCACCACCACCACCTCCCTTTTCACCATACACATCACCCACCAACCGACAACTCACCCATACATTCACAATGGCCAGGAAAAGAGTCAAGAAGAGAACCCATGTTGGCGCCAAGAACCCCGTCTCTTCGGCGGCCCTCAACGGCCATGCCGACCGCAAGGACCCCAAGAGCATGGTCATCCGCATTGGCGCCGGCGAAGTAGGAACCAGCATCAGTCAATTGGCCACCGACGTCAGGAGAGTCATGGAGCCCGGTACCGCGACCAGGTTAAAGGAGAGAAAGGCCAACAGACTGCGCGACTACGTTACCATGTGCGGACCGCTAGGCGTTACCCATCTTTTGCTCTTCTCCAGATCCGAGTCCGGAAACACCAACCTCAGACTTGCTATTGCTCCCCGGGGCCCTACATTCAACTTTAGAGTCGACAAGTATTCTCTCGCAAAAGATGTGCGGAGGGCGCAAAGGCATCCCAAGGGTGGCGGCAAGGAGTTCCTCACTCCCCCATTGGTATGTTATTGTCAACCTACTCTTTACATATGGAGCATGCTAACGGTGTAATTTAGTTGGTCATGAACAACTTCACAGATCCTAACACCGACGCAAACTCCAAGGTCCCCAAGCACCTCGAGTCCATCACGACGACTGCCTTCCAATCCCTCTTCCCTCCCATCAACCCCCAGAGGACCCCTCTCAAGTCGATTCGCAGAGTATTACTTCTCAACCGCGAGAAGTCGCCCGAGAACGACGGCTCATTCATCATCAACTTCCGTCACTACGCCATCACAACAAAGGCCGTCGGCATGTCCAAGCCCCTCAGGCGGTTGAACGCCGCCGAGAAGCTCATCAAGTCCAAGAGCAGGAAAGGCGGCCTCCCGAACCTCGGCAAGCTCCGCGACATTTCAGAGTTCATGATCGGTGGAGAAGATGGCCAAGGCTACATGACGGACGGCACAAGCGGCAGCGAATACGACACCGACGCCGAGATTGAGATCCTAGACCAAGGCCCGAAGAAGGTGAAGAGCGCCAAGGCTCGGGCTGCCATTGCGGCGGTGGAAGCTGCCGAAGAGGAAGAGGAGGGTCATGACGACAACGTTGAGCGCAGGGCAGTAAAGCTCGTGGAGCTCGGACCTCGTATGCGGCTACGCATGACCAAGGTCGAGGAGGGCATGTGCTCAGGAAAGGTACTGTGGCACGAGTACGTGCACAAGACCCAGGAGGAGATTCGGGAGCTCGAGAAGAAGTGGGAACAGAAGAGGAGGGAGAAGGAGGCACGCAAAAAGCAGCAGAAGGCGAACGTGGAGAAAAAGAAGGCCGAGAAGGCTGCCCACAAGAAGGCGACCGGCGGAAAGAGCAAGGACGACAGCGACGACGAGGACGAGATGGACATGGACGACTACCCGTATGACAGCGATATGTACGATGCCGAGGACGGGTTTGACAGCGAGGGACTGGCTGGTGATGCTGAGGAGCAGGCCAATACCAAGATGGAGCAGGACGGCGAGTGGGAGGACGAGGAGGAGGAGATTGCCCAGGAGGCACAGGCGAAAGGAAAGAAGAAGCCGGCTTTGAAATGACGGACGTATTGAAGTAGTGTACGTGGATCAGACTCGGTTTCCTTTTTTTTTTTTGTCCATATTCATGTCATGTTTTACGGTTAGCATATGCCCTCAATCACTGGGCCGGTATCTTGGGAATAACCCTTCATCGGAAAATAGTATTGGTGTTGGTAGCAAAGAGAGACATATACCAGGTTGTTCGAAGAAGGTCTATAGGTCTAGGTTCCTCGCAGCTTCATAGTATGAGACAGTCACTTACCTCGCTCAGACCGCTGTCAACAGCAACATTGTGTCAACACACCCATCAACTGTATGATCATCCTCACTGTGCCCTCCCTTATCCGCTCTCTGCCACACCCACGGTCTCAGTAACACCCTTCTCCTACTAAATGAACCTTGGCAAGATTCACCAGATTTGCACCGGTCTGTAACGGTGTAACCCGTGGTTGCATCACCCATCCTCTCCCGGCTCTAAGGGTAAGGGGAAAAAAAAAATTAGAAAAAAAAAAAAAAAAAAAAAAAAAAAAGGCGGGTGACGGCACAACAGCAAAGTGGCAGGTTTCACACGCTTCAGAGTACGATGATACGCGACCTCAGCGACACGAGTACAGACGGAGGGAACAGGACCGAATGGGATGGATTTACTACTGTACTGTCAAGGACCACAAGTTGCTGCCGGTACCCTATGTGTAAGGTGTCGTGGTGTGGTCGTTGAAGTGGCTCGGTGGGAATTGCTTCTTTTTTTTTCTTTTCACATAACCTAAACGTCTGGATAGGTGTCTATTTACTCCTCGTTTTCTTCGCTCTGTTCTTTGTGTTGTCGTTGCCGTCGCTGTTGTGTATCCCACCCACCCATCATTCACTTTCACTTTCACTTCCACTTTCACTTCCACTTCCTCAGGCAAGCCAGGCACTTATCAACGACCAGCCTCTCGGCGACTCGTTGCCGTGGGGTCCCATCTGGAGTGCCATCCGTGAGGTGCGTGCATGCGGTGCCCGTGGGAGGTGGTTCGAACTCGAGTGGGCAATGGCTTGATATGATCCCATTCATCATGAATTTTTATAGGGGGGTACAGGAGTGGATGTAACTTTGTTGCTGCACCTTCGGAAAGGACCTTCCGTACTTCCGTACCTGTCTGCCGTATATACGCTCGGCTGGGTTTCGGACTTAAGGGACCGAGACAGCACTTGGGAGGCTGGGCTAAACGAATAAGGGGTGAGGGGGGGGGATCATCTTCTTGGCTCTTGTGGCTTGTTCTACTTGGAGGAGAAGATCTGTTCAAGCTTGAAGCTCGTTTGGGTAAGCTCGTCGGCTATGTTTGTTCATGGCTGGAAGGTACTTGGAGGCGCATTTTTGTCCGGAGATGGTGTTTTTCGTTGATGATCACGATTTTGGTCACTGAGATGAAGCAAATTTTGTTCATTTAAATGTTGTGATATTTCACGCCCTCGAAATATCGGGCATCTATGTAAATCTGGTGATAGCGAATCTTCAAGTGCTAACACGTCGAATGAAGATGAAAATGAGGGAAAACATGCGGCGCAGAAGCTGGCGATGGGCATTTCGTCCTGCTTTCGCCTCCCTCTCCCCCCTCTTTCGTGTATCCTGACGATGCAGAAATAAATCGGGCCTCGGCCAGTGTGACTTCTCGCACCATTCTTCCAAAGCGACACAAACAACACCCGTGGTTGTCCGTTCTTCAAGATATCCCCAGGATAATATCCAAAACAAAATCGCATGGCTCAGACTGCGCGCACGCAGTCATGCAATGCTTCTGACGCTGATGCATATTCCCATCCGGGTCCCATGGTACTCCCAAAAAAAAACCAAAACAAAAGAAAATCAGCCCCGTCCGATGACTTGGGCCCCAAAACGCCGAAAACACCATCCCCCAACAAGAACGCTAAATCGTCGTAAATCATTGCATGATGATCGGGCTCAAGATCGTTTGTCGCCTCAGTCGATCAGTTTCGCCGTCGCCGTCATGTCGTATGAATGCGTCGGCGGCGGAGAGCAGCGATGAGATCACAAAACTCGCTCGCTCACTGCCTCTGCTGAGCCTCATACGCCCTAACAGCGCGCTCCAGCTCCTCAAGACTGCCACGGTCACCATAGGCGTCCGCCAACATGTTTGCGCGGCGCTGCCTCTCCAACTCGGCTTGCTCCATGGCCGCCACGCGCCGTTGCATTTGGGCTTCACGGTAGGTGCTGATGCCGTAGCCAATGGCAGCGATGCCTACTAGGGGTGGAAGCCTTTAGAGGGGAAATGTGTTAGTTTAGATTACAAGATGGAGAGGGGAAAAGGGTGGTCTGCGGGGAAGTGGGACAAGACAAGACTAACCATTTGAGACCCTTGGAGGATTTGTGGGAGGCTTGGTAGAGGTGGGGGAGGGAGCTGGGGTAGACGCGAGCGGAGGTGGTGAGGAGGCGGGCAGGTTGTTGGCGGTTCATTTTGGCTCTTTGGAATGGTGTTCTTGATTGAACTTGTTGTTGTTGCTCACTTGGTGTAAGAACGGCGACAGCGCTCGGGTGGGCTTGTTGACTGTTGTTGTAGTGGATGATGATGATGATGATGTTTTTGATGTTGTAATAAGTGACTGATGCGTCTTGGTATCGAATAAATAAATGATAGATGGGCTTGCACGTGTGATATATCGATGGATGCTGATGATGATCTCTTCCTTTCGAAAAAGGAGGGAAGTGACGTCTTCTTATGTATTTCCAAGATGGGTTATTGTTGACGTCCTGTGGATCCTATCGACGGCAGGCCTAGCTCATAGCAGCGGAGTCCTCGAGCGTGAGATAGCGTGGGGAAGCGGAGACTCCAAGAAGGGCCAAGGCAGGGCAGTGTGCAGATCGGGTTGCGGAGTTTGAACAACGTATGTAAGACGAGATTGGGAACACTTTTAGTCGCCAGGGGGGAAGAGATGCTCTGATGTGTTCAGCGATCACCCTTTCTCTGTTGTTGATGGGCACGAGTCAGGTATATGTATCCTTCTCCCCTTCTGTCCCTTTCGCATCAGGGTGTGTAGGTTGGGTAGGTAGGTAGATAGCCAATATGGAATGCAACACCAGGCTCTCGTTCATATGCAAAAGCAGGCCTGTTAACCAAGGGGGGAGTCGGCAATCCGTAAGATCATTCCTTATGGTGGTATGGAAGGCATCTGAGGGCATCCCATGGTGGGGTGATTAGTTTGATGGGTGGTGTCACCAGCTGTTTATTATTCCCGGTTCACCCTCCATTGTCGTCTCTCTCTTTGACCACCCACTATCCCCAGACGTTCACTGGCTAGTGCGCCCTTGTTGCCGTCGCTCGATTGGCCGGGGACTGTGGTCAACTGTGGGGGGACAGCAGCGCCAAGTTCAAGCGCCAAGCCGAGGGTCAACACCCTCGTTACACAAGCCGTATGCCCGGAAGCGGCCGCCAGCTGCACGCACCCCAGACGGCTCCTGCAGAAAGTGCGTGGCCACCACCGCGGCCACTGAGGTGACTGCCTGACGCCGGGCTCTCTCGCTGTCAACTGCCATATGTCAACATCCCATCCCTACACTGAGCCTGGCCGGTCGCAATGCGCCCAGTTCTGGACAGGATGAAGCCACATTCCAAAACCTGCATGTGTGAGAGAAGATGCAAGCAAGGAACGGATTGGCCCGGCGTCTAGGGAGATCTGTATGGATGGGAAACAAGACTGGGTCGAGAATCGTGCCATTTTAGCACCATCTCAACTAAAACGATCTCGCCGCCCACGATCTCAACACCACCGCGAAATTGGAAAATAATGTCAACAAAGACCCCTTTTTTCCGTCTGTACCTCCCTCCCAGCGCCCAGCGGTTGCGGTGAGGTCTGGCCATACCCACGGCAACTTCGAGACGTTAACCGAACTGAAGCCCGACACAAGCAAGCTCGGCCTCAAACGGAGTCCCGAAGAACCGAGCTGGATAGAGTGGACCTCGTGAAACTTCTCTCGTCAAAGTCCTCGTAAAAGCTTCACGGGCTTCCCCAGTTACTGTCGGTGTTGGTTTCCCCCCGATGCCCGTCGTCTCTGTCTTCGTCATAGCCACGCGATGGGAGGAGGTCATCACTGGTCCTTCGTCATGGTGTTTTGTTGGTTTCCACTTCACCTCTGTTCAAAATAACACTGCCCCTAACAATTTCCTCCTCCGCTGCCAACAACAACCGACGCTAACTGCCAGGCTTTCTTCTGGACCCCCTTCGTCAACAACGTCGTCACCGCCGCCAAGCGGTGATGATGTAAGTCTTGGCTCTGCACCAAAGCCCCAAAGGGTCCATTTTCCTGCCTTTTCAGGGAAATCAGGGTCCCGCACTAGGCCCACCGGACAACTCCCGTTTTTTACTGACGATGGCGATCGCTTCCATTGACGTTCTTGACGTCTTCTGCTCCCCTTTTCCCGCCTTGCAATGCTCCAAGTCGAGATTCGGAACCGCCCGATTGACATAATGACAGGTCGCTGCACACAGTACGGAAGTGCTTCGTTCATTGCCATGCTCAAAGCTGCGCATCATGGCATATGCTGAAGAGAACACGAGGATGCTCACTTGCATACAAGAAACGAGGACGCCAGGCGTCTCTGCGATCATCGGATACGCATCACATGAAGTCGTCCGACATGATTCGGTCTTTCCACCTTGAGAAACTCTGCCATGCCCGCGCCTGCGCGTATCTACATAGCATGGCATTCTCTCCATTTAGCTCGCACGTGCGCCTCGTGCTGCACATCTGATATGGGATTTTCAGGTCGTGTTTGGGAACAGCATTGCCATGATTGCCATCCTCATCACCACCACCATCGTCATCGCAATCCTTCAGATCCTCCACTGCAACACCCCTAGGCCCCTTATGTGAGGGTTAGGGTCTAGCACCGCAGATGGTACTCCGGCTTGTCTGGATCGATTCATCACATGTCATCGACTGGACGGATTATTTCACTGGGAAGTCGACTCTTTCATATTGATCTTCACGATGAAACGATCAAAGCACATGTTGAGCGAGCTTGGGTCTTGATCTTGTGACCAGCAACCCGCAATTCGTGATCAATTTCGGGTAACAACACTCGACCGCTCATGTCACCACCAGGCACGAACTCAATGATTTCGAAGGCCCTCCTTATTAATTACTTGTGGATGTTTGCGGCTGAAGGCCTGAGATTGAGCTTGCTTACTACTGTCCGGATGTAGGGCCAGATCGCTCAGCCTCACCCTCCCACATATTTGGAGTTGGCCCAGGCTACGTTAGGATAACTTTCAAATGCTTCAAGGATGGGTTTCAAACTTTACAAGGTTTCAGGAAAGAAAGAAACATTTGATACAAATACTAATCCTCCAATAAGCGAATCCAAAACCTAGACAATCCAAACGCTTAGTAACTTGAAACAAATCGCCGGAGAATCCCATCAACAGTTCAACCGCCCGCTTCTACGACCCGGGGCACTCCGTCCCCGTCAGGCACCCGGTGCCTTGTGCCGCGCCGAACCGTAACCAGAACCGGAACCATTTCCCACCTCCGACTTCAAAATCTCCAACCCTCTATCCAAATCCCCAATATTCATCATCATCATCATATTTATACATTGCATGTCATCGTTCCTCCCCTTGTCCATTTCGCCGATTGATAACCCCGTCCCATCCCATGTCAAGTCCCTGACTTGATCATCTTGCTTAGAGGTAAGCGATTTTCCCGTCACACCGCTCAGGCTGAGCTTAGTGGGTCTCAAACAGTAGTCGTAGGCGTAGGCGGGACCGGGACGGTAGCCGTAACGGTAGGCTTGGGCGGGGGACCGGTGGGTTTAAGTGGCGGGCTAGGGACCGGAACAGTAGCGGTCGGCTTGGGAGGCGCGGGAGGCGGAGGCGGTGCGCTACCGGTGCCGATGGGCTTGGGTGGTAGGGCCGGAGGAGCGGTGCCGATAGGCCTGGCGGGCAGGGGAGGCGGAGGCGGGGCGATTCCGGTGCCGAGGGGTGGGGGAGGCCCGGGAGGCGGGGGCGGGGCGATTCCGGTGCCGAGGGGAAAGGGAGGCCGGGGAGGCTGAGGCGGTGCGATCCCGGTGCCGAGGGGCATAGGGGGCCGGGGAGGTTGAGGCGGGGTGCTACCAGGACCGATAGGCCTGGAGGGCAGGGCCGGAGGAGCAGTGCCGGTGGGCTTGCCGCCGGCTTGAGGGAAGGGGGCGCCGAGGGCGCCTTGGAATGCGGCAGCCGTGGCAAGGAGGGTGAGGAGGATGCGCGTCATTTTGACGACTCTATATTTCAGGACGACTCTCTATTTTGGAGGATTCGGCGTAGGTTGGTTTCTTGGTAAGTAAATGAGAGATTTGGATGGACTGGTTTGGCTTGATGAACTTGACTCTGCTGACCTCAATTGTTAACGACATTGGGAGGTTCATGAAGGGGTTGTTATACTCATGGAGGCGAGTCTCCTTTCAAGCCCGCTTGGTAAACTCTAGTGTTTCATACTCAAACGCTCGCCTGTATTCGATAGCGGGAAGGTAACATCCGGTATCATCATAGCCATAGCAGCTTGGCTTGCCTACCTGCCGCCTCGGAGTGAGCAATGCCATTTTCCTTTCTTGTTGTTGTCTCCCATCGTACTCTCCCGCGATCTTCACTCACGATATCGAATGGCTCAAGCAAGAGGTGTGCATGAAACACAATCAGATGAGGCTAAAGTGATGCCGGCCCCCAGTCAGACTCTATCGAATTCCTGGGTATGTTAGAAGTATGCCTGCTACCCGGACCACGTTATCCAATCATCCCAAAGCCAGGTCTGTAGTGATTATTGTGAGACGTGAGATCGACTATCCCGTTGCAATTGGGGTGGTGCGATCGGTCGCATGTATTTCGTGACGCTTATTCAAGCGAACTTTTCGCCGTCTACAGTCACCGGCCGCTCTTCGCCATTACACTCACTCTACTTCCCATATTGCGCCCTGGCCGTGAATACTTCTTCCCTAATACTTTACTTAAGCCGCGAGCATATTTAACTCTCCTGTGCAATGGTCTGATGTAACGATAACAGCCGCGATCCGAAATCCTCCTTAACCTCACACATCTACATACTAACTTTAAAATAAACTTTAAGGTTACGAAGAAAGGATCCATTCAAGCCTCCCGCAGGCCGGCCATCAAGTCTTGGGTCGATTTTCATCCATCTAGTGCCGGCAAAATTAAACGATGTCCAAGCAATAACATTCCGCTCTTGCCAAGCTTTTCTCGAAATGTCAGAGTCCAGACCATTGTTACAGTACATTCCGGAGAAACAGGGGGTGGTTGCAACTTTGTAAAGGGAGGAGGTATGTAGGAGTAAGCTCGTGTTAACCTGGTATGTGAGCTTAATTCTTCTCCGATTGCGAAACCTTGGATTGGATATCCGGGACTCTTGGGGCGTTTCATCGGTTAAGGTTACGGCCAACACTCACAATAAATTTTCATCATTAGAAAGCTACAAAATGGAATGAAAAGAGATGCGGAGGAAACGTCTCCGCACATCCCGTACCAGGAGCGGGCTTGCGATCTATAAAAACCTCCGAGGTTTGAATGGTTTCGGATGCCCATGTTCTATCAATCGATTGTCGCGCCTTATGTATGAAACGTCTGGATTTGCAAACGTATGAGGTATCCAGGTGGCGGAAAGACTGTAATCTGGTAGTGAAAAGGCTTCCAAATGCCCCGAACACGAGACGTTGTTCATTCAACCTTTTTTTTTTCTTTGAAAAAAAAAGTCAAGAAAAGAAAGTCGAGAGTTCTACGTACAGGTCACTAAAGACTAAGCTGTCAAAAGACCGTTCGCGGGTATGTTTTAAGAAACACCTTGTCCCAGTACGGCCTGTGGTAGCTCGCTATCTGCTATGTTGATTTCCCTGCGGCCCGGTACCCAAAACAAGAAATCCGAAAGCCCACGGACTGTCATGACGCCGTCCCATGAAGGAACATCAGGGAGTTGTGGCTGGGAGAACTATCAAAATGAAACCCATAGCCTAGGTTGAATGGACATCAGAAAATGGATCAACATAGTCATAATAAGCTCTTATTGTGACATGGTCCGCTCTCCCACATCCCGAACTTTATTTGGTAGCTAAAGCTTTGCCGGGAACCAAGAGTGAAGAATGCGAGATAATGCCACTAGCATTATGTGCGAGTAAGGCCCAAGAAAAACCAGAATATACGAAAAGACTTATTGACCTCCCGGGTCCCTCGATCGTCCTCAATAGAACGATAACGTCTCAAGCCGTGCCATGAGTGCTCGAAGAGGTGAGAAACAGGAAAATATTTGTATATGTACAGAAATATAAACAAAGAGAGTACGAGAGCGCCGGATATGTGCAATGGGAAATGCGCAGTCCAAATCAGTCGATATCGATCAACAATGACCGGAAATTTGGGCCCAAAACCCACAGAGTGTCGACTGCCATCCACTACTCGTTTTTCTGGGAAGCAGAGATGAAATCAATGCTCCACGCTCAATTGCAGTGTGACCACCAGTCACTGAGCTTGACACAGCTATACGGAGCCCGGCAGGAGGTCAGGCCCTTGTAGCCATTTCCGCCGCACTGTCCCCACTGGTTGACCAGCCCAGCAACCGGAGTAGGCGCAGAGACAGCTGTCGTACTTTCAGCCCACGGGGTCGTAGTCAACGTGCTCTTAGCAGTCGCCGCGGGGCCGTTGACCGTGGCTGTAGCCCAGATCGTAACCGTAACCCAGGTAGTGGCAGTTTGCACTACGGGCGTGGAAGAAGTCGTGCTAGAACCAGGCAACGAGGTAGTTGCAATCGTCGGGATTATACCGACACCGCTTCCGCCGGTTGAGCCAAGGGCCGAGGCAACGCTGTCGAGGAAGCCGGCGTTGGCCCAGACTTGGCTCATGTCCCACATCATGACGCCGCCAAAGCTTGAGAACGTCTGGGCGTACTTGATTACGTTGGCCAGCTGGCTTCCAGCAATGTATCCGGTGCCTGCAGCTGACGAGCTGCCCGGGACTCCCAGGAGGATCTTCACATCTTTGTTCTTGCTGACGGTTTTGGCCCAGTTGTCCCAAGTGCCAAAGTTGAAGTTGTTCTGACTAGGGGAGCCAAATTGGAAGGTGTGTACACCACAGTAGTTGTTATAGAACTGGACAGAGACAAAATCGAATGCCACAGATTGCAGAAGGTCGTTGTTAGCGCGATCTGGGAAAGGGCATTGTGGTGCTGAGCTCAAGAGGAATTTCTTGCCGGAAGTGGCAGCGGCGGAGTCCATGAGTGAGCGCAGACGAGTGGCAAAGGGGACCATGTTCTGGGCGACGGCTTCGAAATCGAAATCGAAACCGTCGATAACAGCAGTGCCAAAGGGGCGCTTGTCTGAGTTGGTGACTGGGCCAAACATGGCCCAGAGACGGTCGGCCCAGCTGATTGCCTCAGCCGGGGAGCTGAAGCCGCCCTCAGAGTAAGTAGCGCCGCCAATGGAAAGAAGAATGGACTTTCCGAGGGACTGGCAGGTCTTGATATCCTCCCTGTGTCCTCGAAATGGTGGTTAGAAGTTTGGTGTCCCTGTGAGGGGGGAAGTGAGTTGAAAGAGTAAGGAACTTACTCAATCTGAGTGCATTTGATCAGTTTGGTGCCAGGGAAAATGCTACAATCGTCTCCAGCATTCGAAAAATTCATCTCAGTGTCCCTAATCACATTGAGAAATGCCAGAGGAATAGTGTTGACGTTTGTGTCTATTTGGTTCAGTGTTAGATCAGTGACAGGAAGGCGGTCTGGCCCAATTTTGAACCAAAAGTGAAGGTGAGGTGATAGGTACGTACTGCGGCAGTAGTAGGCAAGGCGCTGCTGACCACCGACTTGGTTCGCAGAGTTCTGTCCTGTATCGCGAGCGTTGAACGCGAGGTTAGTTCCTTTAGCCCTTGAATGACATTGGACGAAGTGCGCGCCATGTCGGTTGGAAAGAAGCTGCTTACCCCAGTAGATGGCGATATTTCCGGTCGCAGTCGACGAGAAGCCCCCAAGTGCTCCAGGCAAGGAGTTGACGAGCGCAAAAAGCGCAACGAGCATCGAAGACGAGTACATCTTGCAGGAAAGAGTGGACTAGCGCTGAAAAGACTACCAAGGAAGTGTCGTCGTATAGAGGTTTGTGGTGGGGAGAGAAAGGGACTTGGTGATGATGAAGGGCGAGGAAGAGAGACTGTACCCAAGCAACGATGGGCAGAAGAAGGAGGAAGTGGGCAACCGCCAGTGAATGGAAGAAGCGTTTTTGGAAAAAAGAGGCGGGCGAGGGAGGCAGAATCTTGCGGCTCCCCAGCAACAGTTCTCAAAATCGGGAGATGCGGAAGGTACGACTTGGGATGAAATACTAAAAGGTGAAGCCACAGCCTGAGGTAAGATCCGGTCAAGGAAGGTGCGGTGACGGCAGGTCATTCGAGATATAAACTCCACTCCTGCTTGCCCTTCAGTCTTATTCAGGGTCCGTACGGTACTTAGTACATATCTCTTATTCACGCGGCGAAATTGAGTTGACTTCGAGTTTGCTTCGAACTGCTAGTTCCTTCACCCCTCTTCAAGTCTCGATCCCACGTTGTTCTTGCCACGACGTGATACCCGTGATGCTGGCACGTAGCACATTCAAACACGCGCTCTTCCCCTCGATGGAATGGAAATGAAATGGAAGACAAACATCGAAGGGAAGCTGGCTGGGGAAGCTCGCTCTGAATCAGAGCGGATGGAATGAATGAATTGATTTCGATGGAATGCTAGCGCGCGTGCCTATTATATATCAAGATCGCAACAGCTAGTACCCAAAATACGTCGGTCTGGAACCATTCAGGCCATGTGCTTTTTGATTTGGTCTCACTATATATGTTAATGAGCTGAGCTTGTCTTGACATGCACCATCTGAAACCCTTCAAGTCAAGCGTGTATATTTCAGTTGATGTCACGAGTAGGCCGCCTGTGTGATCTGGATCTGGCTTCTTGAGAGAGACCAAAAAGGTGGCAAAACTTTTGGGCCATGTTTGGACGGTCCGACACTGAGTGTCTAGTGTAGCTCTCTCGATAAACCTAATGCGAAGCCTCAGCTCTATCACAACGGCCCTGATCTGAACATGATGGAACCGAGTTCACTCTCCACTCATCGTTTGCACTTCTAGTTTGTTGCACGGTACAATAGGGGTTTCTGCGGATCTCCTCCACTCCAGCTTTTATCAAATTCCATTCATTACACTGTTTAACACTGGCGTCAAAAGAGGCCAGTGTTGACTGCCACAATGTGTCAATCGGCAAGGGGCCAAGTGACCACCCGTCTGTTACAGGGCACATAATAGATAGTTGAACAGTCTGGGATAGCGTAACAGTTGTATTTGAAGTAAAGCAAAACATGTGCCACGCTTCGTGCGCGTCTTGAAGTTGTAGTGACACCATGCAAAGCTGTGAACCCCTTGCTGAAGGGCTTTCTTTCATCACGAACTCGGCGACCCTCAGCTAGGGTAGATGGTGACATGAAATGTCAATGAGTCGTGATTCTCGTGGAGTCTTGTGCTGGAATAGCACTAGCAATTTCGAGTTTGACGCCTATTGGTAACGTTGCAAGGGTGACTTGTCAACCATCCAGCACTTTATGTTCCCGCGGGAACTACCATTGTACAGGAATACCAATCGGTAAAAGACGAGATGAAGACTCGGCAAGGGGTCGTGCAAAATGCCTCGAAGGATATGAAGTTGTGATTGCACCTGGCGGTTCGGCTTTGTCGACGTCATGTGTCCGGAGATGTTCTTGCGTAATGGCAGGGCAGGGTAGTCAGCCGTTGTCGATGCAATTCTCGGTGAACCTGTCTCCCCTTGCGAGCCAAGCGATTCTGATCTTACAGTGTGGCTTTAAGCTTTCGGATTTCCTTAGCCAAGCCTTTTGAAGCCACTCTTATCCCCCTTGTCCATGGTCACTGTAGGTTTTTGTTGGTGGGATCGCTCCTTGCAACAGTCCATCGGTATCCAGGTCTGTTTGAACACCATTATCCCGATTGCTTCTTGATCTCCGATAATCCTGCGAAATGCAACGGTTGGCACGCGGCCTATCCACACCAGTATCTCCATTGTTGTCTTTTCCATCGTCGTACCCAGCACAAGTCTCTGCGCGCTGCGTCCTAGGCCGAACCCTCCTCGACTGCCTTGACTCTTGACTGCTCGATCGCCTCTTGACATCCATCATTGACCATGGCGAATCTCTGACACGAACTTCGCTTGGTGTCGATGGCTTTCCTACTTCGTCCTCCTTTTCCGCAGAGATGTCGTACAACCCAGCCCCATGAATTCCACCCCACTTGTTTGTACGATCATGGTTCTCCTCCCCGCCTGTTAATATATCCATGTTGAGCGGGTGCATCTGCCCGCCAGAAGGCTTGATGTGAAATTGGTGCTTCGACCGCCGCCATTCGCGGTTGAAAATGTAGTCGTGCGGGTTGCCGGTCGCTTCGAGATCGGGGCGCCAGCCATCAAAGGTAGTGAAACTGTGGTAGTCGTTCGACAGAGAAAAGGAATTGTGTCGACGGTTCGATTGCTTGAGGATCTTGCCGAGGAATTCGGCAATATTCATCTCAATGTAAAGTTTGGCCATGTAGGTTAGAGGATGGACTTGGACGTAAAGAGCGTCGTTGCGAAGAGACATGAGACCAATGATCAGGACCTATATCGAAGTGCGCTCGTTAGCCCAAGCATCATATGTACGTGAACAAAGGAATGATGCCTACATCAAGCGAAAGTGAAATAAAGACCATAAACAGATTAAATCTGTATACGAGTCTGTACTTTGTCAACCCGTTGGCGACTAGTTTCGACTTGATAAGCCACATAAAGTAATAATTGAGGCCACCATCAACGGCCATGAATAGAAACTTTTCAACTCGGTCCCAGACCTCGTTGACGTGGATCCACATCTCGCTCACCTGGAGGCGGGCAGGGATCCAGACAATGAACACGCTGACATTGATGACGCCGATGGCCAGGAAAATGTAGACCTTGAGCTTTCTGGCCTTCTCAGGGTTGTAGAGGATAAGGGAAATCCTGTTTGTAAGAATTTGCATAAGGCATTGAGTCTGGGACATAAGGCGATGGTCAGCACATGTTTGTTTGTGAAATAGAGTAATGGTTTGGGAACCAATGCGTACCTTGATGGTCCAGGCAATAACTGACATGTAAAACAATGGCGATTGATACGTTAACGCTTGCCTCTAGCACCAATGACTTGTTGAGGATGTGACTTACTCAACGTCAAGAAGTACCAAAAGCTGTATGGTATCATCCCAAGTCAGCAAAGCTCCTAATTGCATAAACCGAAAACCAGGTCAAGGAAAACATTGAAAGTAGTTGAATGTACCTTGGCTGAATGATACCTCTTAGAAAAAGCCAGCTGCTGACCGCAACACCAAGACATGAAGCCCACTCTACCCAAATCATGATGATATATGGATTCCAGAAGTGGCAGCGTCGAAAGCTTCGGAGTGTCTGCTTTACTCCCTTGGCGAGTACACAGATAGCAAGGGCCAGAGTGAAGCCCCATAAGAACGTCGCTAAGATGAGGTCGCTCTCCGTTGGCTCATACGGTTTATACCACGGCGGGATTAGGAATCCGACCATCTTGACGGGAAGTCTCGGAGACAACTCGTCGTATATGCCGTTTTTTCGTTGTTGCTGTCGTTGTAATTTTGATCCATGTCAAGTAAAAGGGTCAACCAAGCTGCGAAGGAAGCGGAAGGGCTGAAGATCATAAACAACCTGGTGCTGAGATCGTGTATCCACCGGACCGGGTAGACTATTGATCTCGCTTGCGTTACCCTCGTCGGCTTTGTCCCCATGGGGTGAGATTGGCCGATGCATTCACATGGGATAGAGGTTGAAAGATGCAACGAACCATCGAAAGGGAAATAAGATCTAGACAGACATAAATTAACACCAGGATGGTACATGACGCTACATTAAATAACCAATTGTCCGCCAACAGGGGACTCCGACAACAACGAGGAGAAAGGGATCATAAGCACTAGCCTATGTGAGCTATGAGGACGGATAAGCTGTTCCTGAGCCGGGCAAAGCAACCGAGGAACCGGAATAAAAAGAACACATGCATGTCTCCTCAGAATATCGCCAATGGTTCACCGCAACACTCTGCGATGACAGTCAAGACGTTGAAGATAGCCGTGCGAGGACGGCGACGTAGTTCAACCTCTGCGGTGAGGAGTTGTAATGGCAGAGTACAAGGATAGGTAAACCGACTCCGAGCCGCTTGCGTCTGATGTAGCAATTATTGTTGTGTCTCGGTATGTCGATGAAACTCCAGTCGGGCCTGGAAGTGAACTCCAGAACAAATCCGTGCCCGGGGCCGGGTGCTCCCGTCGTCACTGATGAGCTTGACGATCCTTGGGTCGACTGTAGTCGGCTGTCGTTGTCACAAGACAAGACAAGTTGGCGGCGCGAGGGAAGAGCTTGAATAGAAGGAGGTCTCATGCTATTTCATGCTTTGAATTCGCGGAGGTGAAATGAGGTTACATCGCAACAATTATTGGGGACGTGGCGCTTGGGGAGCATTGAAGTGAATGATGAACGGCGACATGATGTCTCTGTCGTGTGAAATGGTTTTTCTCCTGTACACCTCTGCCGGCATTTACTTTGTTAGCGCGGTACCTCCACCTTACAGAATTTTGCTAGTTGGTCGCGGGCATACCAATAATCTTCTGTAGGAAAAATAAAGTTATCGCCACTTGCAAGAGAGCCACGCTAACAAAGTAAATGCCTGTAGAGGTGTAATGGTGAGGTTGTGCCCACTCACTGAAAAAGGAAACTCCCGCGAGAGCGGAGCGGAGGCGGTTCCTGCCCTGACCCCTGCGTGTCGCCCATCAGTGGGCCCCGGCCACTCCTTAGCGATAGGTGTCCGTACCCGACCGCCCCAGGCGCAGGGGCACGCCCTATGAAAAGAAGGGGGCGTTAGGTGGATTAACAGGAGACGGCGGATACAGGGGCGTTAACCATTAGTTCTGTTAACTCCGTTAGCGACCCTCCCAATACGAATCACCTCCCCGCTCCCCGCTCGCGGTAGGTACCTATTGGCCCGGAATCATCCGTCGCATCGCTTCAAGGTACCGGGTGTAGTGTAGTGTAGAGGTAGCTACCTAGCTAATCCCTACTGCGCTCCAACAACTTTTGCGAATCCCGTCTGGCTCGACCACGACATTAATCTCTCTCCACCACCGTCACACTGCCGCTGCCATTTCAAAGCAATCTGACAACAAGCAGCCGATTGACCAAGCATTGCACAATCACTATTCACTGGTGCCACTCACTTTTGTTCTGCTTGATCATTTCGTTGGAGCCTGTTCTCAATCATGGATCAAGAGTCATCATCACAGCATCCAAAAGGGCATCAAAGGACGCGGTCTGCTGTCAAAGGTAGGTAGTGTGTACGTATCTCAGCTGGTGGGCCGATGGCTCAGACCTTCGATCGTCAAACGTCAGATCTGACAAGTAGCTAAGCCATCTCTCGTCTTAGCCACCCGCCCACGCTCATCCACCAAGGGACCCCTTGACGTTGGCGAGTGAGTCCATACCATCCAGTGCTCTGAACGTCGACTGACTGCGGCGCAGCACCCCTCTGGCATCTCATCTCCTGCCCCCTCAACAACAGACCGATCAACAAACATCATCGTCACACGCGGAGCAACAGCATCAGATGATTCCCGGCGGACACGGACACCAAGCCAGGGCTCCGGTCTCCGGCTCCCCGCTTCTCCCCCGTTCCCCAGCAGCCCACTCTCCCGCTCCGCCCCACTCCCGCCGTCAACCGCCACCCTTGTCCCTGTCCCCAGCCGGCCCGAGTCCCCGCATGTCTTTCTCTTCGGGCCCCGGTAGTGGCGCTGCCTCTGGACGCGGCGCTCCACGCCCTCCCCCCGACTTCTCCCACCTCCTCCGTCCTGACATCTACCATGAACTGGCTCCCCTCAACGTTCCGCCCCCTTTTCGCCAGTCTGCGAAACAACCTTCAGCCTCTACACCCATCCCCGATCTCCTTGCCGGAGGCCACTTCCGGGCTGCCGCTGTTGCTGCCGCCCAAGCACTCACTGGAGCCAATGGTGCTCCTGCTCCGGACCTGGCCGACCATGCCCTTATTCTTTCTCTGTTTTATGTCCGCTTGGCCTGCCTAACCCTCATTGACGCCACTGCTCTCGCCACTCAAGAGGTCAAAGCTCTAGAGGATCTGAATGCTACCTTTTACGTTGATGAGACTGGCCACAACTTGATCCCTTGGGAGCTACGTATCTTGGCGGTCCGGTTGCAAGCTATTAGCTTCGCCGACCAGCGGCGTGCAGTCATGAGCTACTACGACCTGGCCAGGGAGGCACGCTTGCGCTTGGCCGAGGCGGCAGCCAAGCACGACAACTCGGAAAAGCAACTGTGGAGAGAAAGGCTCAACGATCTGGGCGTTAGGGTCGCCGGCGTACTGGTCGAAATGGATGACCTTAAGGGGGCAGTTGAACACTTGGCCTCGCTGAAAGAAAGTGATAACGGGAGTGGTAAAATGCAGATGGCGAGAGCTCTGTTGTGGTTACATCTGGGAGATGTTGACGCCGCGAGGGGGTGCGTGAAGCCCGCGGAAGGCAGCGAAGGCCCTTCCGATAACATGACGGAGAGGATTCTGCATGCCTTGTGCGACATGGCCGATGGAAAGTACTCCGAAGCATTGAATCAGTGGGAAGAGTTGAGCAAGGTTTCAGATGACGAGATGATTGGTGTAAACAGGGGAGTTTGTCTGCTTTACGTTGGAAGGTTGCAAGAGGTAAGTCCCTGCTGTTCGAACCTGGACTACCTATCAAGTTGCTAAGCTGAACATGGCGATGTAGGGCAAAGATCTGCTTGAGGGTTTGGTGGACTCCGGTAGGACCTCACATACCCTTCTCTTCAACCTGACGACCATGTACGAGCTTTGCACGGAGAGGTCCCGAACCTTAAAGGTCCAACTGACAGAGAAGGTGGCTGCCTTGGAACCGACATCCTTTGGGTGGGAAAAGACCAATGCCGACTTTAAGCTTTGAATTGGCGTATTTCATACGTCACATCGCTGTGCCATCAAGGATGCAAAACAGCGGACGGGGTCCAGCCACAAGACAGAAGATTATAAAATTGATACCCTGGTAATTGAAGCAGCAAGTCACAGTTCAGTAGATGCAGTATTCCGGATCACATGTCTTTTTACACACGAAACCGCACATAATACGCGACGACCAAATCTTAACCAAGGCTCACCGAAAACGTACAGTGTCCTCCAACTGATGGTCACTAACCAGGAGGCGCATCCACACCCGCACGCCCATGCGACCTCATCCAAAAACTCCATGCCGAACCGTCAAAAACACCACATCGTGGCTGAAATGCCCCCCTGTCTCCGAGAAAGAAAAACAAACAAAAAAGGCCAGTGAAAATCCCCCGTTACAGTTGCGTTGTGCTGGTATATGGCTCATAGCTAGCAATTGGATCCCTCGTTTGCCTGTTGCCAGGAGGGCTGGGGGCCGGCTTCCTCTTTTGAGTGTACTCATCCGGAGCCGCCCAGTCCTCGTCAAGCCGGGGTTTCGAATCTGGTGAGCCAAGGGCAGACACCGGCTGGTTCGCAATGTCGTCTACACCTTGGGGATGTTGCTTTTCGACCTGGACATAGTTATGCTTGCCGGCCACGAACCCGAAGAGGCCGTTCTTCTGCTGAGGTTGCCCGGCACCATCACTTGCACCGTGATAGACCTCGATGCCTTCGATATTGTAGCTATTGCCGCCATCCATCAAAGGCATTGACTTCTCCTTGGTAGGACGAGCAACAGGTCGGTTCCTCCTGCGACGCCGCTGGCGGGTCGGATCCTCCATGAGCGAACGGCCGACATACAAAATGCTCGCCAATAGCGAAATGAAGGCACCCACACAAGCAATAACAATAGCGGACATGCCCAGGTTGCTTGTCAAGCCAATAGATCTTGAATAAGTGGCCATGATCGCGTTATGAAACTGGTTGAAGACGACAATCGCCGAGATGGTCGCGCAGATTACAAAGCACGTCGAAATAACGCTCATGACGCCCGCTCCTCTCGGCGAAAAGCATCCCACAATGGACACCAAGAAGTTGAATATGTTAGAAGCGATAAGACCGCTGGACATGAAGGCGCTAGCTGTCTTGTAGGACTCCGTGGCTTTCAAAAAGGTGCCGTCCACTTTTCCCTGCAACGAAGTGGCCGAGAAATGGAGGACTTTCGGAATGTCGAAAAAGTAGCCAACGTAAGAGCTCATGCACGAGGTAGTCCCGTTGCCGCGCCCACAAGCTGTGAGTAAGCCAACGGTGTATCTGCTGGCGACGCCAAGTGATTGAGCGGTGGAGTTCGGTCCAGTATGATCTGTGCTGGAGACCATCAAGGTGTCATTCAGAATACTCGACTCCCCAAGCTTCGGGGGAATTGACATCGACGACACATCGACCTGGAATATAGCGGTCAGTTGTCGTGGATTTCCCCAACGGATGATGCATCAACACTTACTTCCAGAAAGTAGACGCCATCCAGCCACGTGCTATGCTGACCGAATAGGGCCGTACTAATGAGGACGAACGCAAGAAATGACAGCAAGCCGGGAGCCAGCGTCCAAAAGAGGTTCCGCGTCATTTCTGCACGACAATTTTCCACCAACAATCTGCGAAAATTATCCTGAGAGTGACAAAGGAAGACAAGCACTAAGCGCAAGCAATTACTTCTCACCTTGCGCAAAAAGACGAGAGGACATATGGGAGGTTATACCCAACAGGACCAATCTCCAGTTCTTGAGACGAACGTCAACCTTGGACCTAGGGTGGAGCTGGATGGTACCGTGTCATGTTGGTATTTGCGGAATACGGACAGCAGATAAGTGCGCCAAGAGCATCACCAGCCTCTCAAAACGTACAGTGGGATCCGCTTGAGGCTCAAGCAAATCTTGAGACTCCTCAGTGGAGAGCTATCTTTAGGCGGTCTGCGATTCTCGAAGGATGCTAAAGATGCTCACCGTTGGGAAGAAAGACTCTTGGCCGTGGCGCGGATGCGGTGCATGTGGATATGTCGCGTGAGAGGGGAAGGCAATGCGCCTCTATAATAAGAGCCATTGAACAACAACCGACAACAACCCTCCCCTGGAGAGACACTTCAACATCGCTCCAACAGGTCCACGTTGCGCGCCTAGTGAACGCTTGTTTTGTGGGGCACTCCAGCTCCAGAGCTACAGTTCAATACTGGTTTGTCGTTAGCTCAAGACCTCGGGTCAACTTCCTCGGGCGTTTTCATACCTACCTAACTAAATCGCTTCGTTTCATGCTCAAAGCGTGATCTGACGTTGAATACGATATTTCTGATATGATATGTCGCAACAAGTTGTATCAACGTCTTTGTAACCCGTACTCAGCCATTCAATTTGGCTTAGTGAGGTTTGGGCCCATTCTGGATAGATCTCGCCCAGTAACTATACGAGGAGCACCAAGCTAATAAACAAACCAGCATTGGATTATACAAGATCACCTCCCCAGTTCAAGTTCTATCAGGATGATCCGCTTGGCTACCGATCCCAGTTTCTCCACCTCAGGTGTCAAGAGTTTCAATATGGCGATATTTAGGTTTGCCCAGCTTACCATTTGTTAGGTGATAGGTTATGCATTTTTCTTCTCGCGCCTTGAAACAAAACATAAAATCAGGTCAGGCCTTGAGTGGAAACCAATTCGTGATTCCTTAGTTTCGACAGGTCGGTAGAGGTATTCCCTGATACCATGAAATCCACATAGGTTAATGCGCCTGTTATCATAGAAGCTGACCCGAAGTCTTTCCCGTATTTTTTGAGCTCAACGCCTGGTAGAGTGGCTTGATTGGTATATATTCTCGTTTATCCAACCCTTTCAGGGTGAAAAAGAGTAACGGCGTTCGGGTACGGTCAAGTAATTGAGTTTCGGTACGCATTCATCTTTGCTTTTGCTTCCTCTCCATATGAAGGTGCGTTCATGTCATCAAGAAGCATATGATCCTGGGGTATACAACTGAAAAGATGCACAACAATTCAACGACCGCCGGACAGATGCACACTCAAGCCAATGCTCAAAACCAGTTCAAATAACACATTATTAACATACATCCGGTCTCCACCAGGGAGAGCTTCAGATTGCCGTTTTGTTCATTTTTCCCATTCCCCTCCATCATCAGCTCAGAAGATACCATAAACCATGACCAAGATTTAACCGGCTTAGGCAAGAGCAAATCCAAGCGCCGCAGCCAACACACTGAAAGAGACACCAACAGCTCCAGCACCGCTAGTGGGCATGGTAGAAGAGGTAGCAGACGACCAAGCACCCGAGGCAGAGGCACTGCCGCTGTGGACAGGAACGAGGGTAGTGCTGCTGCTGCCGCCACTGGAAGAAGAACCATCAGACGAGGAGGCCTTGGCAACGGAACCACCAAAGACACCACCAGCAGGCGTCACGTTGCTCGCCGCCGCCTTGGCCGCCGTCTTGAACTTGTCAAAGTCGTCGGTGCTCTTGGCGTTGACGGCGCCGACCATGCCAGCTTGGCAGTGCTTGCCCTGGGAGCAGTAGAACCACAGAGGGGTGGTCGAGTTGACGGTTACGCGGAAGACGTTGTCCTATGATATCCCGTTAGTGTCAGGGGAAAAAAAAAAAAAAAGAAAAAAGAAAAAAACTGGTCTTGAAAAGATGCGAGGATGATGATGTAAGGAAGGAAGAACGTACAGAAGCAACACCGGTCTGAGCAACGGGGAAGAAACCAGAGTAAAACCCATTGTCGGTCTTGGGCTCGCAGGGCTTGGCCGCGGTGGAGGTCACGACGCTGTGGTTGTGGGCGTAGAACCAGAACTCGAGAATGTCGCCGACATCGGCCTTGATGTTCGCCGGCTCAAAGGTCAGGCCGGACTCGCCAACCTTGACGGGGATGGTCTTGGCAGAGCAGGCGGAGGAGAAAGCCAGGGTGGCGGCAAGGAGGATGTTGCTGAGGGAAGGCATTTTGTTTGTTGATTTTGGTTTTGTAATTGGTTGATAGATGGTCAGTTGGTTGGTATGGATTAGGGTACTGAGCGGAAATGAGCTGGTTTCAGGAATCGAATGGGAAAAGAATTAAACGGGTGTGTTTTGAAAATGAAGATCCTCCAGGGACGTATGGTTTTGAGTGTATTTGAGCTGGTTTGAGTTGATTATGATGGTGAATGGATGAAGGGACGTGTGTTGGTCTCCTTATATATATGCTGTCGTCCTCACAGCATCATCCGCCATGGTCATTGCAGCGCTTAGCTCACATCAGCATTTCTCCCCGTCGTGGTCATGGAGGATCCTTCAAGATGTTTCAAGGATCCCTCAACTGTTCCTGAGGCTTGAGACTTGGGGAGGTCTCGTGAGTGGCTGGGAAGGGAAAAATCCTTGGTGTTTACAAAGTGTTGCTATCTTAGCACACAGGCACATAAGAAGGACAAGGGGACGCGGCCTCAGCCCAGACAAAGCCCGAGCGCTGAGGCGACCGGCGGTTGCACCGGACAGCGACCAGCGGTAACGGTGACCTCTTCAATGGCTGGCTGGCTCGGTCGTGGCCCTGTGGGAAGCTCGGAAGGCTCCTTACCCGCTGCGGTTATGGCAGGGCTTTGTGACACTGGTTGATGGGGTGCCCATGGCGCAAGTCGTAGAAGCGTCTTATATGAGTCTGAATGAGCCAATGACGTTGGATGATATCTCCAGAATCTGGAAGCGAAGCTGGGGGCAGGAGGTTTCGGATCTCGGGGACGCCAAGCATTCTGACAGTTCTGAGGCAATCAGGGGTCCAGGGGTCTGGAACCTGAGACGCTTCACACCAATCGAGGTAGCATTGCTTTCGATACCCCTGATACTAACAGATATAGTGTAGCTTTGAGTGTGACTATGTTAGCATGCTAGCACTTAACCCGAATTTGGTTTGGCTTATCACACCTCAACGCATCCCCAAGGGGTCAATCAAGATGCGAGATGAAAACAACCAAGCCAGACGCTTGGACGAAACAACGTCAAAGCAGTACGTTGTACCGATCACATAAATCCTTTTGCGAACAGATGACAGAACACATGGGTTGAACTTAACAATCATTGTTTGGACTGGATTGAGTGTCCTGCCAATGCTTTCCGCGGTCGAACAAAAGGCCAGAAAACATCCCGCCATAAGAATGTGATGATTGTTTTGGGCCTCTATGAGGACAGCAATTGTGTGTATCGTTGCCCCGCGCTTGCGAATTGTCTCGAGAGCCAAAACAAAGCGCCCGCCGCGGCTCATCTCTGCCAGAAGGGATGTGCCCAATTATGCCCAAGACCTATTTTGGTAGTCGGACATCAGCCGCAGCGCGGTTAAGACTTGCTTTCTAGCGGCGAACGGAGCGACCGTGGCCATTCCCGGCCATCGTTAGAGGCCGAGGATATTTACGACTAATTGAGCAAAAAGACTGGGAACTGTGGCAGAAAAATACCTTAGGAACTGTCACTCTGCAAAGTGTTCGCTCAGAGAAAGTTGTTTTGAACAACGATGGGAATCAAAAACGACCAAAAAAGATGTTTTGCGTTGACAAGGACGAGATTCGAACTCGCGAGGTTTCCCATTGCGGTTTCAAGTTAATCATTTGATAACCTAAACACAACGCCTTAACCACTCGGCCACCTTGCCTAGTGAGATTGTTATAAACCTGTGTTTAGCTTGGCATCATCTAGTCGCCTGGCTGCCTTGGCTCATGGTCTTCGGATCAAAAGGTGAGAAGATAGTTCAAGCATGGTGACATTTCGGCAGACCCTCGCAGAGTCAATTGGTTCACAGCATTGAGGCTTTGGGGTCCAACTGTCGTGATCGAAAGCACGTCTTCCATGGACGTGAACGCGTCCAATCAACTTTCATTTTCCATTCCAGATGTGCTATAGATTGGGTATCATCAAGTAGCCGTAAACTCCTTAGCCGCTGAACTTTAGGGTAACCAACGTAAAAGACAAACCTCGTAAACACCGTGCACATCCATATGCCCCATAGTCCACAAGGAGAATAACAGAGACGACAGTGATCAATAGTAACCGTGACTTTTACGCCCTTTGTGTCGGTCACTGTTGTGGCCGCCATGCCGACTTCGCGAATAAGGACTCCAGCCATGGTCGGTGTGATTTCGATGTGACGAATGCGAGTGATGAGCACTTCGGCTCGAGTGCCGTGGTTCATCGGGGATTCTTTCCTCCACCTCCTCTTCGATTTCCTCGTAGACATCATCGAAATATTCCGCCACTGTTTCCCGCTCGAAGCGGGCGTCTTCATGGTCGAAGACAAATCGCAAGGTTCCTTCAGACGACTTGCCGTTCCTCTTGACAGTGATATTTCCAGGTAGCGAGCTGTTAGTCGCAGGCGAGATCACAGAACCCGGCGTGACGGAAAGGGCATCCGAGCTGTCTTGGGCACACTTGTCGCACCATGCAAAGTGGCGGTGGTACCGATTCCCTGATAGCATCTTGTTGATGTCAATTTTAACGTCCATCAACTTGTTAAGATCGTATCTGCTGCCGACTTTGGTGGACTTTGGAAATTGTGTGTAGAGATCCATCAGATCCAACATGACCTCGAGAACACAGCCTTTCCTAGCCGGATACCGGTCGGAATAGAACTGTGGGATATGATCTCCACCCATTCCCGTAAGGAGGACTGTTAGTTCAAGGATTGCCATCACAAGCGGAAAGCTGGGTTGCTTCAAGGGCGCAAACGTCTTGTAAAGATCGATGGACATGTCGTATGCATCGCTGATGAACTTCTTGACCTCGGGAGTGTCCCCTTTCTCGCCCTTTGCGAACATCTTCCGAAGTAATTTGATCAGCAACTTCTGGGGATACTGAGCCTGGAAGTCGAAACCAATGGTCTCCAGAATATGACGCTCGAGGCCCACTGTGAATTTGGATGGACCATCGAACATCTGCTCGGTCAATATTAGCAGGTACACCATAGAATGCCAACGAGATAATTGACGAACCTTGTCATCCGGAGTCCTTTGATCGTGGGGCTGCCTGATATTGTGCGCAGCACATAGGACATCCTTGGACTTCTTGATCGTATCCTCCACCTTGCATGCAACAAACAACGACGCAAGAGCTACATCTTCGTAGTTGTACTCGGCGCTCGGAAACCGTATTCTGAACCTGTGGTAGTAGGTCGCTGCTGTATCGAAAGTCTTGACCGGCCTGTGGCGCTCGTCAGCAAGATGCGTAGGTAAAGCTTGGAAGCGATGGGTCCGCACAGGCTTATGCTTTGTCGAACGCTATCAATGAGCTGGACGCCTTTGAGTCTGTATGCATCCTCTCTTGCCTCATCATAGCCAATGCTTTTGAGCATCTGCTGCAGCGTCTGTTCCGAGATGTAGCGTGGCGGGTTGGACGAAAGCCCTGGGGAAGGCCCTATCGGGACCACTTCATGGTCATTGACGCCGTTGCGTTTCGAGGCCGGCTCAGTTGGTATGCTCGGTGCCATTGGGGAAGTTGGCAAATCACTTGGCTAGAATCGGTTGAGAGGAGTGGGCATAGAGCCCGTCGTCATGCGTTGCGAGCGCAGCCCTTGTCGGAAATCGGGAATCCTTCTGACGTCGCGAAATGGATGGGTTTAGAGATCGGCAGTCGAGGTTCGGCGCTTGAATGTGGGATTCAACGGCAAGTGAAACTTCGTTTGCTGTCAGTGTAATCCCAGAAGGTCTCTCGAGGATCCGCCTTCGTTTCGAGGTTGGGGCGCAGATGGTGAAAGATGTCGAGCAGAACGAAAATGGGAACCGAGTTGCAAGTTTCGCGACGCCAATTGCGAGGGGTTGCTTGCAGCGCGCGCCGCTGTTCACAGTGAGCACTGGTCTAGTTGGAGCTGGTAACAATTTTGGGTGAACCGTGCACCTAAACGCCTGATAAGATAACACTGGGCCGTGGCCGTGGGCGCTAATCCGGCCCCGCTCCCGCTGTGCCTCCAATTCCCCCTTGGGCCTCCACAATCCGACCTCTGTCGCGAATCCTTTTCCATTTCCATTCTCCAAATTCCCATCATTGCTGTTCCGGTTACCCTTCCCGCTGCACGATCCAGAACTCTCATCCAACCTCACAGCGCCCACCGGAATCGATAAGGAGTCTATTAAAGTTGGGGTAGATAGGTAGCACTGGGTCGTACCTCGCGGATCCCAATTTTATGCCATGCGTTGGTTCGGTTCGTATCCGGTGGAAGGGCTCACCGGCCGGATGTTAAGCCATTTTCGGACTCGGAGATTTGGTTGCCGCACGGTGATGCTGACGGTATACCCGATGTTTACGGCGTGCCCGATGCAGTGTTTACAGCTGCCGGTATCGATATAACTCGTGGAAAAGGGGCTAAAGCGACGAGTGTTCCATTGCTACGCACCAGTCGTTTAACCGACTGGGCGGTGTTTCAACAGTGCATTGAGGTAGTATCATGACCTGCCCGCTCAGGTCTATATGGGAACCACAACAGTAGATCGGTTTGAAGCAAGCAGGAAATTACAGGACTCGCCGTGTGAAGTCATCACGGTCATCATCCGTCCGTATTCACTAGTTCTAAGAAATGGTTTAAGAAGGTGCTTCCGACATCGTCTTCAGCATGATTTTTTCCAGCAAGTGCTACACCACTATCAACTCACAACCTATTCACTCTTTATCAAACCCGGTTCTCCAACATCGTCCACTCTCGTTACCATGGTCCGAATTTCCCTCTTGACGTACCTGGCCCTGGGCCTAGGAAGCACCACTGTACTCGCAGACTGTGGTCAAGCCCCGAGCAGTTCGCCGTCAGTTCAAATTCCCACGGGCGTTTTGACGCCAGTCACCGACTTCGGCGTAAACCCAACCGGCCTGGATCTCCATATCTACGTCCCCAAGAACCTCGCCCCCAAGCCCGCTGTGATCCTCGCCGTAAGACCCGCCCCTTGCCCCCCCCCCCCCCCCCCCCCCCCAACCTCGTGAAGATGTAGAATACTAACCTTTGCAACAGCTCCACTTGTGCGGCGGCACCGGCCCTATTTACTCCTACTTGTCTAACTACAACCCCCACGCCGACGAGCGCCGCTCCTTCGTGGTCCTCTACCCCTCCACCCCGCACGACAACCACTGCTGGGACGTGGCCTCCAAGAAATCCCTGACCCGCGACGCCGGCGGCGACACCACCTCGCTAGCCAACATGGTGCGCTGGGCCATCTCCGAGTTTGACGCCGACCCTGCGAAGGTCTTCGTCACCGGCTCCTCCTCCGGCTGCATGATGTCCAACGTCATGGCCGCTGCCTACCCCGACATCTTCTCAGCCGTGTCATGCTACTCGGGAATCCCCGCCGGCTGTCTGGCTGGTTCCCCGGGAGCCAGCCCGCAGACCTCGGACCCGACTTGTGGTCAGGGCAAGAAGATCAAGTCCGGAGAGGAGTGGGCTGCCGTCCTCAAGAGCATTTACGGCAAACCCGAGGGATACACGGAAGGCTCGTATCCCAAGGTGCAGACGTGGCATGGTGAGGCGGATTTCTTTGTCAACTACCCGAACTTGAATGAGCAGTTGAAGCAGTGGTCGACGGTATTGGATGTTCCGTTTAGCAAGACTCAGGCCAATGCGCCGGGCACTGGGTATACCAAGATTGTGTATGGAGATGGAAGCAAGTTGGTTGGTTACTCGGCCAAGGGAGTGGGACATACGGTCCCGGTGCACCCTGAGGAGGATTTGAAGTGGTTTGGCTTGTAATGGAGGGGACGGGGGAGGTTGAGAGGGGGTCGATGGGAGTCTTGTGTGTGATAGTTGACGATATTGGATAACTGGTATAGAATGAATAGTTGTGAGCTGAAGAGTTTCTCGCTACATCGTGAACGAAATGCTTGTATGGCACTCAGCGTAAAAGCAAAGGAAAAAGCTTATTAGACTCAACAGTCACCTCAAGACGTGCGGCGAAGCATTCTGCGAAGAGTCTTGACGGTGTGTGGTGTTGCATCGTATTCGTGATACTTGATTCCGGGCGCAAGCTGCGGGCTTTCCGTCGAGTTTCTGCTGCAATGTTGCTACATTGTAGCGTGAAGATTGTAGGACGAAGTTCCATGGCGGCGGCGACTATCTATTTTTGAACCACATTTCACTCTACACAGTAGGTATACTTATCCGTCCTTCCGACGTTGAACCCATGCATCAACTTGGTCAAAACCGTGGTCAATTATGGGTATTTAATGTCCATTAAGCCTTCAGTGTCTTTTCCCAATTGTCGTTACGTACTCGTACGATATTATGTCCCATTCCCCCTGTCGTCATGCGTGGTATCAAAATCCTAAACAGCGCGCTTATTTATATATGCATGCAGTAGTGCAGTATGGTATCCACCTCCCTTAGGCCTTGTCAAACTTTTAAAAAAGCATGGCGAAGACGGCGGCAAGAGGACCAGCAACGCCAAAGGTGACGCCAAGGGCGGTGGCAGCGTTAGAGGTCTGGCTGGGGGTGGCGCTGGAAGAGGTGGCAGGGGTGCCTGAGGAAGTGGGCTTGACGGTGGTGGCAGTAGTGGTTGTGGAAACTGAGTGGGTTGGAGATTAGTTAGTTACTTGACTACATGTATGTGGCAAGGCAGAAGGAAAGGACATCTTCTCACCTCCAGACTTGGTAACACTGAACGTCTGAGACTCAGCAAGCTGGCCGTTGTTGGTCTTCTCAGTGCCGAAGGCCTTGATGCTGTAGGTGGAGCCGGGGGCGGCGACGAAGTTGGTGAGCTTGTACTCGCCGTCCGATGTCTTGACCTTGTCCGCAATGGTCATGTCTACCTCGCCGCCAGTTTGGTGGTTGACGAGGACAAGCTGAAAGGTCTCGGGATCGGAGTCGACGTGGTCCCACTTGATGGTGTTGGTCTGGGACAGATCCCACTTTGCGTTCTCCTCGGGCGCGGTGAGCTTGAGAGCTGTAGTTATGGTGCGGTTAGCGAGTGTCTTGGGTGTGTAGCTTGGTATCGGAATTCTTACCAGCAGCGGTGGCCGCAAAGGCAGCAACGGTGGCAATCATGAACTTCATGTTGGCGGTTTAGGGTGGGTTGATTTTAGGTTGGTTATGAGGTATTGGATGAAGGTTGGTATTAGGAAGATTAAATATGTGTTGGAAGACTGGGCAAGATGGGCGATGAAGGGCTGTTATTTACACAAAAACAAAATGGACATAAAAGCAACGGAGAAATCTGGTGGATGTCAGACCTTCATTTTAAACTTTCGGTCGAGGCAACAGCCCCATCGGTCAGCACTAGCTGAATCGGCCCATGCAGATTCCAACTTTCCAAGAAACGTCAGTTTTTACCGGCTGATCATCAACTGGGGGATCCTCATCAGTTCGCGAGGATCCTGGTCGTAATAATCCTTGGAGGACAGCGTCGTGGCTGAGTTTCTACGATTTGACATGGAACACCAGCGCGCGTCTCGCTATTTGCTGGAGCTCCGGTGGGCGTGTTGTCCAGCCTGTCCGCGACTCCATCTGGGTTCCTTTTTCGATACTCCTTCGTGATCTTTTAGGCCATTCTCTGGACCCTCCTTTGGGTTTCCTCCATGGGGTAGGAAGACAGCTTACGTGAAGCTGGGTCATCGCCATGCTGGAGGACAGGCAGTGAGCGTACGTACCGGCGAGTTGGTACATCCAGGTACCAGTCCTCCAGGGGCGAAGTCTGCCCGTTTATTCTTCTTTCTTTTCCCGGACCAGGTCCCCGGGCTCGCCCCAAAAAGGGATTCGGTTCCCTTCGTATTACAAGGGTCGTCAAAAGTCAAAAAGTCAAACCTGGAAACACCGGCAGGACGGCAGGTACGGCAGTGCAACTGCAACGTTCAGGGCTCCGCGCTGTGCTGGCAAACGTCCGTGGGTGACCTGGATGATGCTGATCGGTCGGGTGGGTTGCACTGCATTGGTGGCATTGGTGGGTCATGCAAAGCCCAATCTCCGTCAGCCCAGTGGGGTAAGATCTAATTTCAGCTCATCTCTAAGCCTTATCGCTTTCTTATCGGCAGCAGTATCCACATTTACAAAGCTTGGATATCCCTTTTCCCTCTCTAGCGTCTTTTACGTCACTATGTATTTCGCAACGTCCAGTCTTGTTGCGGAAATGCAATTATGCGAAAAGACGGCGAAGAATATGCCGTTGAACGTTCGATTCAGAGCGACTAACCGCATACTATTGCCGAAAGAGAGGAATTGAACTTTGGGTTGAAACATCATTACGAGAACCACGTTGTTGTGTTACTTTAGAGGCCACCCAGCCTTGATGCCAATCCGCAGTATCACGTCGCTCGGGTGTGTCTTCTGGAAGTATACCTATATCGCGCATACTCATCCGTTTCTGATGCGTCGAGATTCCCAGGGTGCCTTTGCGGATCGTGTATATGCCTGATTACCTGGGTTGGCCCTGGACTGAGCTATTGCGGAGTGCGGCGCTCGCGACAAACCCTCGGTAAGGGGGTGTGTTATACATTGATTTTCCTTTGAAATTCTGTCATCGGACATGTTCTCAAACACAACAACTGAGGTGAACAAAACACGCGGTCCAAACCGATGAACTATTACTTCGCAGATGATTGCCCATAACATCGCAATGCGTCATCTTGAACCTACTGTGTAGCTTCCGGCTACGCATCCGTGTCGTGAAGGCTGTTTGTATGGGGAGCTCGGCATGATCTGACGGGTGACCACATTTCCCGAATTGACTAAAGAAAAGCCAAGGCAGAGTCAACCCAGGCGGAACGAACTCATGAGAATGCGGGATCAATATATACCTTGTCCGCTAGTCAAGCTTACCGTCAAAGTTGACTTAAACTGAGTCACTGCAGTGCCCTTCCCGCCCTCCCGCCCCCGACCCCAAACACGAACTTTATAAACTCATCGTCGAGAGGAAGGATCGAAAGGTGGGAAACACGTGGGGATCACAAACCACCAGGAAATTCCCGTCAAAGTGGACCAGATGTAGAGGGAATTTTTCCATTTCAGGGTCCGACCGCTGGGTTTCAGATCAGTGGATGCGCGTTGTTGAAGTGGCTGATCGGCCAACTGTCTGCTCGTTTCCTCAAGTGGATTTTGGAAATGCTAAGTGTACACACCGTTGTACGGAAGATGGGATGCACGGCTGCGACGCAGATCCCCGCGATAGGAGGCCCTATCGCGATGCTGTACTGCATAGTATGATAACCTAAGTGGACATCTGCACGAGACGGATCGATCTTTACCTGGCAACCCCACGCCCGCATTCACCCGAACTGTTGGATGTGAATGTTAGTTCGAGAACGCCAACGGGATGACCCTGCGTTGACTTTGGTTGGGGACGGCAATCAAGCTCTGAAGCGGTGGGGTATTCATGCCTGAGGGCTCAAAACCACGATACTACACAGTCAGTCTTTTCCTCCCAATTGCTTAAACCTTCGTCGTCGTCGTCGCACTAAGGTCCCATCCCACTTGGGTGCGCACCCGGCCAGCCAGCCCGCCAGTCAGTCTTTACCTTCACTCCGCTCTGCCATTGCGCGATTACATTCCTTCAAGTTTTCCCGCGCTAGCCAACACCTTTTGATTTCTTCAACAAGTCTGGGCAACGCAAGTACCTGGAGTACGCCTTGCCGCCGACGTCCTTCGACAAGAGGACGAGGGAGAAGTCTCGAGTTGGTACTTCAGACTATCAACAGAGTCACAAGTACACTGCGATACCATACTACCGACTTTGAAGAACAACAAGCCAACAATATTTACAGTATCTTAAACCCCAACCCAGTTCTTCCCATCCGAAATTAGCGCCAAAATCCTTCCACAGGGAGCAACGACTGGTCGTGTCTCTTGATTCCTGTCTCAATTTATCCGCCAATAACTTCTCCGACCCTTGACTCCACCTCTTTCTACCAGCATCCTGCCAAGCTGTGTCCAAAACAAGCCGCCCAAGATGCCCCAGAAAATCGCTTTCGCGCAGGGCGTTAAGCTTCGTCCCAGAGCTCGGTCCGAACCGCTCGCTGACCGTTCCCCGACCCCCTTCCCGGACGAGAGACCCAGCAGCGCTACAACCACGAGCTCGAACAAGATGTTTTCGTTGCGCAATGGCCGTGGCCGCAACCACTCGGGTGCCAGCGAAAGCAGTCGTGGTACTTCTCTCTTCACGTCGATATCCGGCCGTTCGTCATCGAAATCTTCTGGTCGCCTCAAGAGAGCTTGGGACAAGGTTCTTAGTCGCTTGGGTTCTGGTTCGAAAACTCCCTGAAGCTGGAACACTATACCGCGAGTGTTGTTCTTCGGTATGGAAAGGATCGGTATGCTAGTGCCGTCATGGAACAAATCACATAGGGATTCCAAGAGCAGGAGTCTAAACGGAAGGACAAGACTGGAACCTTTGGGCGGTGTATTGCTTGCATTCCTGCAGTAGGGCAAGTGGTTGCAACCCCTTTCCACCCAGCACGTACAGAACGCGGAGATGTTTCAAATCGTGGTCTAGACGAAGGTTCCGATACTGGATGGCTTAATGGTATCAATAACAGTTAATGATGATCACGGTTTGATCATATCATGGTCAAGAAGAGCCCGTAGGTCAGGCTCTTGTCCGAGACTGCACTGTTACACGCACTTTATGTGGTGTGACATTGGGCCATGTATATACCACATGAGGTTGTCGTTGCTTTGCTTGCTGGGTTCGTTTGTCGTGGAAGAGATTTACGATCTAGATATCGCACATTGAGCCGCATCATGCAACGGAGACTGGACTTGAATATGGCGGAGCAATGTCCACCTCAGCATAGGTTATCTTCGTCTGAGCCTATGGTGGCATGCCAACGAAGAACTTGATTCCACTCTCTTTTCGCCTCAACAACTTTACTAACAAGGGGTTCTAGAAGCAGTATCAAGTATGCTATTTTTCCTTCAAGCAGTGCGGTACGGACCACTAGCGAATAGGAAGGAACTATGAAACTGCGATACCTTATCAGTCACAGTACAGTACTTGGTGTCCCTTACCAATTTGGCCAGCGGTCGTTGGGCGTTATCACCTATGTCTTTCGGCAGCGCGACCGTAGTCGGGAGGTAGGTAGATTCGTGCAGTCCACGTGACGGGTGAAGCCACAAACACCCAGTCAACCAGAGATAGGCTGGCGATGTTCGACCTGGAATCTGCAACAGCCTGGGAGAACCATAAAACGCGATAGCAATCAGGAACGCTGTATCCATCATTTCTAACACCCCCCAAGTTACCAGCAGGCTTTGCCGTACACTAGACAAGGTTGAGTGGTCCTGCGATCGACTCGGGCTGTGTTTCTATACACGCAGATCGATAACAGCGAGTGCACGAATAGCTCGGCAATCTAGCGACCTACTGAGCGACTTCCAGGTTGCACTCACAAAGCGATACCTCACGCATCCGCTTATCATGCCGAATCTTACGCCTCAACAGCTCACCACACTCTTGAGTACTCTCACTTCGATCGAACAACGGCTCAGCCGAATTGAAGCGGCCCTTCACCTTAACAGCAATGCCGCGCATAGCGACGGAAACGCCGACCCAACTTCCACTGGCACATCGGCTGGTCCAGCTGCCTCCGTGCTAGCCCATCCCTCACTAAGCGCCGGCGCCGGCAGGAGAGTCACCAACGCCCAATCTCCCGCAGTCGCACAAGCGCGCCCACACCCGGCCCCACCAAGTGGAAGTCGCACATCCAACCTCTCCATTCCCGCCGCCACCACCCAGTCCTCCGACCTCGTCCCCCTCGACCCGCCTCCACAAGGCTACACCATCTCCTCACGAGCCAGCATGCAAGACGAGCTCGACCAGTGGACCATCCCGCGGGGCTACAGCATGCGCATCGCCGGCGCCAAAGTCACCGGCAAGAAGAAGGTCCGATGGGTATGTTTCCGAGGCGGCGAGGCGCGACATCACCGGCCACCTGTGGACGAGTCCGTGATCCAGGCCGCCAAAGCCGAAGGCCGGCGCAAGCCCACCACCGATCGCACCTCCAAAAAGTGCGGGTGTCAGTTCAAGTTCGAGGTGATTGAGACAGCCAAGGGGTCGGATCTGTGGACGCTACACTACCCAAATGAAGAGCACAAGACGCATAATCACGGCCCGTCAGATCAGACGAGCGATCCGAGGGCGAGGAGGTTGCCGATGGAGGTGAGCAGGGAGGTGGATCAGTGGTTGAGGGAGGGATGGTTGGTTAGTAAGGTGCAGGAAGAGCTGAGAGGGAGGGGGTTTAGGAACGTGTTGAATACAGATCTTTATAATCGAAAGAGGTTGTTGAAGAAGGAGAATGCGCAGGGGCAGGCGGGGGGTTGATGAGGGGGGGGATGGTCGGTCGGCCTGACTGATTGAGACGCTAATGTTGCTGCTTCGGGGTTCTGAACGTCTGGGTTACAGGGGGTTTCAAGGGAAAGGTAAATCGGGACACCTTATTAAAGTTTCCATTCCAGTTTGGGGGGATGTTGGAGGTATTGTAGTCTCGCGAAGTTATGATCTTGTTTTTCGAGTTCTGAAGACCAACTTTCTCATCTCGTCGTGCCACTCTCAAGTAGAAAAACTCATAGACCCTGATATGACGGTGGTTGTGAAACAACGTACCTGCACATATCTATTGTTGGATCATCTACCAATCAGCGATATCCTGCAGATGGGAACCTTGCTCAAAACTTTTCAGGCTGCATTTTCGCATCGTTTTTCCACCACTTCCCAATTCAGTCTTTCTGTTCACGCAGTGCTCACCAACACAACGCTGTAACCTAAACAAATATCTCCAGGGGCAACCGCTACAGTCTCCACTGCCCCTTTTCTAAGCTCCATACCAACAGAAGACCCCACCATCAACATCCACGCCGGGAGGCAGGGTCCTCCACCAAACCTAGACGAGATTTACCACGAAGAACAACAACCTGGGCACAAAACAAAAACCACTCATCACCTGCCCCTTCACCACTCGTACTACCACCACCACAACAATGACCAGCCTCCCCGTCTTAACCACCACCCCAACCCGGCACCCAACCTCTTGCGCCTCCCTCTCTCTCCCCCTCCTCTCCTTATTGAACCGCGTTCTCCCTTCTAACCCACCAAGCCCGACAAACCCACCAACCCTCACCCTCTCCATCGGCTCCGGCCCCGGCCTCCTCGAAGCCCTTTTTCTCCACCATTACCCCTCCCGCTCTTCATCCTTCTACGGAGTCGAAGTGGCCCCTCCTCTTTCCCAACTAAAAGAGGGAAAAGAAGTGAATACCTGGTTACCCGAGCAGAACGCAATTACCGTCCCGGGAACTTGGGCGTTGGTGGGCAGGGAGTGGCTGGAGGAGACCGGGGGGCTGCTTTTTGTTTATCCTAGGAGTGGGGTGTTGGTGGGGAGGTATTTGGCTGAGATGGAGGAGATAGCAGCCGAACGGGGAAAGGGACTGGAGGTGGTAGTTTGGATTGGACCGTGGTGTGATGTGGAGGAGTATAGGGCGGTGTTGGAGGGATGGGGTGTGAGGGAGGACCTCACTGAAAAAGAAGAGGGGAGCGGGAAGTTGGTGGAGGAGGGGGAGGTAGTGTTGGTTTATAAGAGCAGGAGGAGGGAGTGAAGGAAAGCTGCCCGGGCATGCATGACACGAGGATGATGAATTTGGGGATCGACAAGTAAAGAGAGCGTTAGCTGTCTCTGTCCTGGTGCCAGACAAAGAGCATCAGCAAATGCAACTTGAAGAAGAAGAAAAAGGGGGGAAAGAGAGAAAAAAAAAGCGGGTAATGGTCCGTAACGGACTCGAACCGTTGTCTTCCTGCGGCACGCATGCAGACGCGGATTTACCACGCCGGGAATGTTACCATTACACCAACGGACCACACCACGGGAGAATGCTCAATTGAAAGAGATTGAATACCATAGATGGGGTTGAGACATGGGATGACGCGGAGTAGGCGGGAGTGTCAGGTCGGAGGCAGGAACGGCAGGCACACACGGAAGGTGCGGGTAAGAGCGGCGGGCAAGAGTCGCACGAAGAAGAGGGTAGAGGTAACGACTGGGTTGGGTTGTGCTGCTTGATGCCGGCCTAGAACCACGGGGGCATCCAGAGGTCTGTCCCAGAACGATGGTTACGAACCCAACCAACAATTCGAAAGAAATCCGCAACACGTAGGGCAGTCACAGACTTCCCTTTAGCCAGTCCTTGTCAGAGGTCTCGGAGTCCGAGTCATCCAACAAAGTAGACTCATCGTCGAAATCCCTTCGGCCCATCCCACTCCGTCTCCAACGGGAGGCCTTCTCCTCTTCCGCCCCTGCTCCATCATCACCATCACCATCATTTACTGGCTCTTTCGGATCCTCACCCCCTTCATCTTTACCCTCGCCTTCCCCCTCCTTATCCGCCTGCTCCTTGCTCAGCTCCTTAGTAGCATACGCGCCGCCCGCAACCGCTGCGGCAGCCCCAACCCCTTGCCCAACAGCCGCAACAACAGGGACCCCATACCCACCCATCGCCGCGCTTGTAGCGGTAGCAAACCAGCTACCAGCCACAACGTTACCTATCATGCCTTGGATTGCAGCCGCGAAAGATCCTACATAGCAAAATGATTAAAATCTAGTTTTCTGAGACTCGGACGCAGAGAGACAAGCGCCCAAGTAGAGCAGAGATGGAATAGGGTCTCGCCAAGACAGGAAACATATACGTACCTCCTGCGATGCCACCGGAACCAAAACCCATGAAACTCAACACTGGCCCGGTGAGCAGTGCCGGGGCAGCGACCACAGTTAGTCCGCCGGCTGTGAGACCGAGAGCTGCGGCGGCTTTGGGGTTGTTTTTGATCCATTCTTTAGCCTGTGTAGCAGGGAAAAGCGTGCGAGTTCGTGGTCCCCGGGTCAGCTGCTATTTGACTACTCTATGCCCAGGAGACTTGTACTTACCCATTTTATCTTTTCAAGCAAGTCATCGTTCGGCTGAGGTTGACCATCTTGGGACTCGGTGGTCGATTGCGTGTTGGGGTCCGTGGGGACTTCTTTCGCGGGGGTTCCGGAGTCTTTCGTTGTCTCATCGTTTGGTGTTGTCTCATCTTTTGGTGATGCCTCCTGGGAACCTTTGTCGTCAGGCGGTGGAATTTTGCGCTCGGTCATTTTGATCTCCGCTGGTTTGATAGGGCTTAGTTCTGATGATGCGGCAACTTGGACTGGTTGGGAATATTGTAACAAGGGTATCGTAAGTGTCAAGAGCTGTGCTGCGGGGTTGGGAAGGGGACACACCCTTATACTTGTGGTTATGGTGGTTCCACGTCACATTCGGACCTTGTCCCGGCAAAGATCACCTACGCAGTGATACGTGTGACAGTGGCGTTGGGTAGTACAGGAGGTTGCTGTAGTTCTGTGGACCTTGAAGTCTTGCTGCTCTTCAATAAGTGGAACGGCCGATCCGCGAGACCAGTCCAGGCCTGTTGATATGACAGCCAAGAAAATTTCTTTGAGCAGCCCAGGAAGAAGTTGGTAACTGATGTCTTGTCCGAGATATCACAGCTTTGTATGTACCCCGCAGCAGTGCTCGCCTCACATGTACATGAGCTTATAACCATGAGTTGACATTTGCAAGGCGGCCCGCAGCAAGCGCCCACACGCAGCTGGAAACTGAACGAATCGAAATTCTATTGATACCTATAACTTCGGTAGATTCGCTACCTCGTGCAACCCTTTTCCCTTGACTCGAGACTGAAACGCTACAACTGCTCCTCTTGATGAACAAAACAGTAGGATAGTTGACGCTCGAGCGTCCTCATGCCTGCCGTTTTGTAGGTGGCCACCTTTCATGCTATACGCTCTGAAATCAGGCTACCGCAGACCAGAACGTGCAGAGGCTGATAACAATCTTCCCTTTAGCCCTAGGTACGATTGACAACTTTTTGGTGGAAGTGGGAAATAGAAATGTTCCTTACCTTCCACTTGTTTACCTACAATTTTCCAGAGCTCCCGGGCAGCCGGAATAGCCCAATGACCGGCGGGAAGTATCACTGGCACGAAGGGAAGTGTCACAACCCCAACGAAAAGACCAGTCACGACCAAAGTGGCCAGGACCCCTTCAATGCTTAGATCCTACAAGTAGAAGAGAAGGAGGTATTAGCTAGATGCAAAAGACATTGTAGGTAAATAGCATATCCTTGAGCCAAGAATCCCGTGCAAAAAGAAAAGTATTTAGAATCACTTGTGAATCTTGTGTTGGCCTTTCAATGACATCCCAATGGAAATCTTCCCCTTCCGGTATGTTAAAGTTGATAGTATCCTCAGGCAAAGTTGAAGGCTTGGGATTCCCCGTGCTCTTCGGAGACAAGCCATGGAAATGGGCACCGATTATGTCGGGCCGCCCAGGGAGACGAGTGCGTTCGGTCGAGCATTGGCACGTAACACCGGGATTCTTTCGCTCCATATCAGCATGATAAGGAGGTAGGAAGTCGTCAGAATTGTCGCGAGATGGCAGATGTATGTGAGCCACAAGATATTCTGGCCCACCGGGCGCTGAAAGCTTTCCCTTTGGACATGAACAACGGGTGTAGTATTCTTTGCGAGTCATCATGGCAATCATACAATAAGATACGGAATGCGTAGCAAGAAGCTTGAACAGTACCAGTCGAGACAGAGATCAAAGAAAGGAGAGGAATAAGGTGCGAGAGATGAAAGAGAGAAGAGAACGAGGCACAGCTTTATGGGCAAATGACTTCAATGATGGACTCGAGAAACCTCAAACTTATGACCGAAGTATCATTGAGGTGTATTGCCTGCCGCCGTTGGACAAGCGCGTTTGTTAATGGATTTCTGCAGGACATCTGCATCTGTAGAATTCATGTTCCCTCGGGCCTCATGCATCCATGCATCATCACTGCAGTGGTGCTATGGTATCCATTCTACCTGAAATTATTTCTCCGTCAGATCCACTACCGCCTAACTTGAGCCCAATCTTATGAGTGCGCAATTTGTAAGTCCTGATAACAATGGGTACTGTATCTGGATTCTTTTGTGGGGTGTAGGTCACAGAAGCTCGCCTTGCCTCTATCAGCGTTCTTCCGAATGGTCGGTGTGCCGTTTGTGTTGGTTTTGCGTAGGAGCCAATCTGCAAAGCTTCTCCAAAATCTGTGATCATACGCTGATCGGTTGGAGAATTTTAACGGAGTTGTATGAAGGACTCTTCATCAGAGGTCTCAGAATCATCCAACAATGCGGTCTCCCCATCGAAGTCCTTGTCGTGGTGTCCATCCTGGTTCGCACGAGGAGTCTTCTCTGCCTCTGACCCGTCTCCATCATCCTTCGGCCCCTTCGGGCTTGGGGGACCGGCTTTATCTGTATTTCCGTCGTCTTCACGTCCATTTCCATTCATAATAGCTGTTACGATCCCGGCCGCCGATGTACAAACTCCGGCCGACTGAACGGCAGTCGTGAGGCCAGCGAGTCCGTATCCGCCCATTGCAGTGCTTGTGAGAGAGGCAAACCAGCTTCCAGCTGCGACGTTCCCAATAATTGCTTGTACTCCTGCTGCTAAAGAGCCTTTACGCATAGTTGTCAGTCGGCGGAAGAAGCAATATATGCTCTAAGATCCTACCTCCTGCAATGCCACCAGAGCCAAATCCAAGTACACCCAAAGCACCCACAGCAGGTGCGGTGATTAGAGCAGGGGCAGCGACTATTGTCGCTCCTGCTAGACCCAGCCCGATGCCTGCAGCTTGAGTGCGATTTCTGCTAATCCATTCTTTAATCTGCGATGGCGAGAATGTTTATCAGCTATTGCTTTCTTGATTACGTATATCATGGGGGTTGTGCAATGTGCAACTGACTCTCTCAAGCTTCTCTTCCCAGGAAAGATTATCCCAATCTTCTTCATCCCAAGGCATCGCGGGCATTTTGATTTTGATGGAAGTAAACAACTAACGAGGTTGAGGAATGGGATAACCTGAAATGGGAACAATGAACGTTGTTTCCAGGTCGTGGAAAGTCGGCAGGAAGGCGATGAAGGATAGAAAGACGGGAAAGTGCGGGTATTTGACCGTTCTGTGCACTGATCTTGCTGTCATCTCTCTCGTCCCAAGTTTGCCTGTGCGTGACGTTGCTGTAGGCCTCACTCTGGTTCAGGTCATGGACGGGTGGCGATTTCCAATTTGCTTCCGGCTGGTTATGTGCAAAACATTCACGACACAGGCCAAGTGGTGCAGAAGATCCAACTTCATCGAAATCAACATCATCGCGTTGACTACCAACAAAATGCCATTCCTTTCCCTTTTCGACCATTTCTTTTATTTCCATTCCATTTGTTTGAAGTGACAAACAGTTCTACGTTGGGCTGGACAGATTCCTACGGAAGCTGGACCATATCGGGGCTACCTGCATTTCGCGTTTGTCACCTTCGATACGTTTTGCTTGGAATTACCTTTGGATCTCTTGCGTCTAACTACCATATCCCGACGATTATCCGCATTCTGCCACCTCTTCGGCTTTGAGTCGATTGCTAGGTACCACTATCTCCCTCGACATCACTGCCACTTCTCAAAAGTCTTGCAAAACAGGCGTCATCATATGTCGACAATATTCGTGCTTCTACTCATTGTTCATCAACTTCGAAGCAGCACCAGCAGCACCACCCGCCGCCATAGCTGCTCCAATAGCCTGACCGACAGCCGCAATCGCTGTGCCCTCGAGACCACCCATGGCTGCGCTCGTTAGGCCAGCAAAGGCACTTCCAGCCGCGACACTTCCGATGCCGGATTGGATTGCTGCTGCCATAGATCCTGGCCACACGAATGGCAAATGTCAGTACGTGCCTGACTGAGAGAAAGAATCCGTTTTTTTCATGACGTTCTCTTACCTGCCGCGATTCCTGAAGCACCAAAGCCCAGGCCGCTCAAAATCGGGGTCATAAGCAAGCCGGGTACCGCTAGGATAACGATACCCGTCACGCCGAGCACGATATACATCACGACGTCCGGGTGCTCAGAAACCCAGTCTTGAGCCTATTATGGAGATAGAACTGTCAGTTGTTCACTCAACTAAAGGTATGAGAGATGGAGAGAGGATATTGACCTTTTGGACTTGCTCCTTGATGCTCTCACCGAGGTCTCCGGCTGCCTCAAGTAGTTTGGGCAGGATGTTGGATACCCAGTCTGACACTTTCAGGGCCATCTATTCAGATAGCAGCTCGTCAGCGGGGTGGTTTTCTTCAAGGCGAATAAGGAAGGAAGACCACATACCATAGGAAGCTCTCGTTCAGCGTCCTGCGCTAAGCCAAGAGCTCTTTTCGCGTCTTCTGAGACCTCCTTGGTCAACTTGATAACGAGCTGTGAATGGGAAATGTGTCAGCATGCAGGCAAACACGAAAGGAAGACAGACAAGTGTATGTGTACCTGTTCGGCCTGCTTCAAGGCGTTTCCAACAACTTCAGAAAATGTGTGAGACATATTATTTCCCAACTCGTCGGCCGCTTTGCCAGCTTCATTTGCCTGTTTCTGCACGTTCTCTCCGAATTCGTTCATTCCCTTGCCCGCTTCTTCGAAACTCTTTCCAGCATTGGTGGCAAACTCGTCGAAGCCTTTGCCAGCTTCTTCAAAACTCTTCCCAGCATTGGTGGCAAACTCATCAAAGCCTTTGCCGGCATCGTCCATCATCTTGCCGAAATCCATCCTTTCGCTGCTGGAATGACTGACGATGGTGGGCTGGAGGTTCGAATTGAAGATTGGACAGATGGAGGGTAGCACTGGGAAGATATAATGAATATTTATGGACGAATAGATTGTTTCGTCATGACACTTTGAATGAGGAAGTATGGCTCCGTCTCATGCTCGAATTGGAGATGTCATAGTAGGCCTCGGTGCAGAAACGGCAGAGGGGACCCCTCAAATCCAGGCCTCTGGCAGCGAGCAAACGAAATCATGATGTGTTCAATGGAAACATTTGGACAAAGCTAACGGATAATTGCACCTGCCAACGTCATAAGTTAGAACTGCCTGCAAGAGGCCGTCTCTAATTACATTCTCTGGCCGATAACACTGGCAAAATCAAGTGTGACAGACATGAAACTCGAAGCTTGTCAAAGAGCCAGTCCACCCAAAGATCGCAGACATTCAAAGATGACTCAAGTACAGATCTCACAGTCCTCCTATTTCAATCACAGGTACCTCACCATTGAACTTCTCTTCCATCCACTGGCGTATAAGATCTACAGCGCCAGCGGTCATAATCGTGGCCCCAGTTGCCCGTAGGGCAGCATCGAGAGCAACGGCCCCATAGCCTTCCGCACCAGCACTTTGGAGAAACGCAAAAACGCTCCCTGGACTGACGTTGCCGATGATAGAATGGACTGCTGCTGCAATTGAATCTGATGACATGGAATCAGTGTTAGCGTATCCTGTGAACTGTATAGAGTGTCTTCGGGCCGACAAAAGATCCACGCTCCAAGCCCAAAAACGGGGGTTTGCTTACCTGCAGCTACTCCTTCGGAAGTGAATCCCAGAGCATCCAACATGGGTTTATAGATCAACCCAGGATATGCAACCAAGATTATAAGGCCTGCAACTCCTAGTACGATGAAGACCGTGGCGGTAGGGTGTTCCGACGCCCACTTCTGAGCCTGCACGTTGCGAAAATAAAATAATCAGCTTTAGGCTCAACATTGAAAAGTCCGCTATCACGCAAAAATTCGGTCTCCTACCTTCTCGAATTCGAGCCTGGCGCTCTCCGCGAGTTCTTTACTGGTCTCCACGAGGAAAGGGAGGATATTCGTTGCCCAGTCAAGGACAGTAATGGGGATCTGAAAGTAGAGGTAAGTAGAGTATTTGTCAGATAAGATGAACAAATGTATAGAGGAATTTCTTCCAGATTGGCGGTTTGGGTAACCTTACCAGTTCAACGGTCTCGCCATCTTGACCCATAACCACCTGGGACTTATCCTGAAGCACGTTGGAAGTCAACTGAATCGAGACCTAGACAAAAGAAGGTGTTAATCAAGATAAGTTTCTGAGGCTTTATCGGTTTGTTAGAAGCCATCTCTCACATGCTCAGCATGCTTCTTTGCATTGTCGAGAATATCCGCAAGCGTGTCGGCAGCAATAGGAAGGTTTTGATCAACCCATTCTCCGGCATTTGCCGAGAACTGGCCAATGTGAACTCTGGTTAGCTGGTATGACGGCAGAATTGCTGGCAACCTCCTCGATAGCAAATATCCTCACCTGCTCTGTGTGTTTCCACGCATCCTCCACTACACTGCTCACGGCCGCTCCGGCCTGAGGGAGAAAGTTCTTTGCCCACTGCGATGCATCGGTCGAAATCTAGGAGGCATCAAAAGTCATTCAGAAATAGGTCGAGCAGGTGAATGAGCAAATCGAAGATACCTTTTCGGTGTTCTGGGCGAGTATATCGCCAAAGAAATCCCAGGGCGCCATCTTGCTGTCTTGACTGCAAATTGGTGATTGATGCTGGTGGTGAAGTGATCTTGACAAAAGAAAAGAAGTCACAAAGGGCTGCGGGACGTTGTAGGCACCTATTAAGCATTGCAACTGTCCGGGGCGATACCCCAGCCCATGTTATCTGGTTGACAACTGCAGGTCCTGCCCGACGAGGCCCGACGGAGCGGCCCTTGACTGGATCTTACTGTACCGGTGGGAGCGGGGATGAAGGATGAGCTGTCGGCGGCCCGCAGCTAGACGGCATTGACCATTGAAAGACAAGTATCACTTTCAAAAGTTTGGATTTGGGCTTGCTGCTTTTTACCTGCTGGTACTGTTGGCGGGGTTTTTGCATAACCACAGCTGATCATCCGCAAGAAAGCGCAGTTATGGCCTTAAACACGCGATGTAAATGGTTCAAAATAACATGGACATATCACGCATTAAAAATTATTGGATGCAATCATCCAACAAGGACAAAGCGCGAGGAAACCGGTGAAGCCCATCATGATCCAGTCTTCCACTTCGACCAAGCGGCAAGCACAACACCAACATACACAGTCAAAAGTCCAGCAACCGTCAATACGTCGGCAATCACTTTTGCTCCATATCCGCCCATTCCGGCACTCTGTAAAATGGCAAAAATGCTTCCTGAGACTACGATCCGCAAAAGAGACTGAACCTTAGCTGCAATGGATCCTAAGAAAGAATGGGTAATGTGTCAGCGAGCTTGTAAACTCAGTACAATTGAGGATATCGTGGCATATGGCACTGGTGATATTGGAAATGAGGATGCATTTACCTGCAACAATTCCAATCTTGCCGAACCCAAGTATCTTCAGCAAAGGGGAGACAACCAATTGAAGAAGTATTATAAGTGTACCGGCGAGGATGATGTAACCTTCTAATCCGAGTCCTTCTGGAAGCTCGGGTGGGGATAGAGTTGGCTGATGAAGAAGCCGTGAATTAGCATGACGCTTGTTACGACAAGAACAGCAGATCAGTATCACATACCATTTTAGCTTCCGCTCAAGAGAAAAGGATCGCCAGGCTAGAACTGAAGACTAGGTTGGCTTAAGTTTGTGGAAGTGAAGTTGACATTGAGTGTTAACAGGAAGTGGCTTATAGGCGACGACAGTGGGGAGACAAGGACGAAAGCTTGAAAGGCTTATGTGTACCAGATGTCAAGATATACGATGGATCAAGTACCTTCAAGAGGGAGCCGGCTAATTAGAATTTGCCTTGCCTTTTCGATATACAAAACCGCTGACAAAATAGGCGCCAACCAGAACCCACTAGGCCTATGCAGACGGCCAACAGCCATGTCACGGTGTGATGGTTCCCAACTGCACCCCCACATGATTGTGTGGGAGGCCGGGGCTGAACTGGCTACGTACCAGCCGTTTAAATCACAATTTCGCCTTTAAGGGATGACGCTCTCCTGGACTCGGCCTCAGGATACGCAGACCTGCAGGAACGCAAGCAACGGTACCCAGGACACCGGTATAAATCCAAGGAGCAAGAGTGAGAGCACCCACTCCACCCATGGTTATGCTCTGGATGCATGCAAAAGTGCTTCCTTTTGCTATGTTTCCGATCCAGGATTGCACTGCACTTGCGATAGTTTCTGGCAGCAGTGGATCTTGCGTTAGCACTCGCAGACAACAGTTTTATGTTAGAAAGCTGCAGACCTACTCTTTGATACACCTTTAGAAGCGAAACCGATGGCTTTCAGAATAGGCTTGTATAGAAGATGAGGATAGGCGACCAAGACAATCAGGACACCTGCTACAACAAATACGAGAAGTGTAGTCGCAAGAGGATGTTCGGTAGCCCACACTCGGGCCTTTTGAGAGAACATGATAGATTAGAAACACACCGCGGAACTTGATTCATGGAACAAGATTTGCTGCATACCTCCTCATACTGCTTTCTGATGTTCTCTGTGAGCACTCCAGCGGACTCAAGCCAGGGAAGAACCAGCGTAGACCAATCCTGGGGGGTAATTGGTGCCTATTTGATCAATTAATTAGCTCTGCAACGTACTGGAGTGGTGGCATGAGACTGATGTATGTTCTGTGAAACTATCATACCGGCTTCCCATCTGCTCCTTCTCTACCCACGCCTAGCTGATAGTCCGACAACTTTGGGATACCGGTACCGTGAAAGACTGAGGAGAAGGGGACCTGGAATCACGATGTGTCAGTAAGCCAGTGTGTATCCATGTAACTTGTACTCGGGAATCTGTGTGTGTCGCGTAAATATACCTTGCTTGCATGCTTCTTAGCCTCTTCGATGATTCTCATAAGTCTGGCGAAAGAGATAGGGAGCGTGCAAGAAACCCATTTTCCAGCATGGACCTTAACCGTCATGTTGTTGCCTAATTGATTTGGTAATGTGCAATCAAAACTCTTTACACATTTGAAGGTGAGTTGTCGCGGCTTCCGTAGATCAAAAGGGCCGTAGAGTGTAGTAGGTGTTGAAGCTTCTTTTGTTGTATTTGATGTGTAGAAGAGCGTGGATGGTCACCTATATAAATTATGTACAATCCTTGCAGCCTAAGTACCTCTAGGTATGCTGCGAGGGGTAGCATGACTAATGATATTTGCTGGCGCTTGCAGGGCACGCCGACGACAACTGTCAGGCAGTGTAGATAATGCGAGAAGCCCGTTTCTGCAGATGCTACTTTTGGGGGCCAACCACGGATTGGCGAAATCCGTTGACAGTCCAAGAGAACCGAAGCGGCAACCGGGTAGCTCATGTGGAACTAAAGACAATGGGAAAAAAAATTGAGAGGGAAACAACTGAAGGTAGAGAGGACCGAAATTCATCTCAAAGGGGGAAAAAAAAAAGAAAAAAAAAAAGAAAAAAAGAAAAAAAAAAAAAAAAAAAAACCGACTGTCTCATGTCTTGAAGTTAATAGCGGGGGAAATTGGAAGGGCCGAGACGGCAATTGTAAATGGAAGTGCCTGCCAACCTTTACATAATTCCTCCTTCAGAATTCACTCAGCTATAACCATGCCATAAACCCGACAATGTTCTCAAGAGCAAGTGCATACGCTGCGATTGTCATCAAGGTACCGATCGCGCCGTTTCCCTTTTCTTTCCGGGTTGCCCCAGCGCCAGGGCCCAAAGATGCCACAACTGAACGTGGCTGCGATGCCTGAGCAGCGCCTGATTCTGCAGTCAGACCATCGGCAGCTTTACCGGTACTCAAGCCAGCAGCATCAAGGATGGGACCGATGAGCAACTTGGGAAGTGGTATACCAAAACCTTCGGCGACCACAGTCAGGCTAGCGGTGACTATTACACGTGTGATCCATCGTTCGGCTGGGGAGGCCTGAGTCAAACAGTATTAGTCTTTTCTGTTGGGACGAGCTGCAATGGAACCACTCATACCTGCTCATAATGCTGTTCCACGTTCTTTGTAACTTCCGCAGCGTTGTGAGCTAATCCGCTGGCAGCAGGAACGAAGTGGTGGGTACTCCAGTGGGCGACAACTCCGGAGATCTGAAAGGCTGTCAACAGATGATACGGAATGGCATGATGCAGAGCGTTTCGTCGTTGGCTTTCTTATAGAGAAAGAATCCCTACCTGCTCGGCATGATCCTTGGTGTTCATGGCAAGGCCAACGACAGCGGGAGCCACCTGCTCAGCATGCTTCTGTGCTTCCATTGCAAGACCGACAGCACGAGGAGCAACTTCCTGGGCGCCCCATTCAACAACATGGCCAGATATCTAGAATATGGAGTCGTGGTCAGCGTCAGCATTGGAATACAAGTGGAAAGCTCCATATACCGTACCTCTTCGGCATGTTGTTTGGCGTTCATGGCAAGGCCGACCACAGCGGGAGCCACGTGCTCAGCATGCTTCTGTGCCTCCATTGCCAGACCGACAGCACGAGGAGCAACCTCCTTTGCACCCCATTCCGCAACCTAACCCGAAGATTGGAGATGGGATGTCAGCACGGGTTCCACTTGAGACGAACCATACCTAGACAAGGGAAGTGCAAAGCCTTCAAGCCTGACAGTCTATCAATCACTTACCTGCTCAGCATGCTTCTGCGCTTCCATCGCAAGGCCGACCGCACGAGGAGCAAACTCCTCAGCTGCCCATTCCGCAGCCTGGCCGCCAACCTGGAATTGCATCCATGGTCAGCGAATATGGTAAACACCCTTTTTTTTTTTCCTTCCATGTTCGTAGTTTTTTGTCCACCAACCTGCTCGGCATGTTCTTTGGCGTTCATCGCAAGACCAATCACAGCTGGGGCAACGGTGCTCGCGCCCCATTCCGCGATGTGACCCCAGAACGCCATCTCTTTGGTGTTTTCTGATGTCGGCAAAGGGTTTCCGTCTCTCGTGAATTGGGATAGTAGGTAATCGGCGACCGTCAGTCCCCGTTCAGATGGATGAGGAGTATAGAATTAGGCGACTGTTGTTCTTTCCGTTTGCTTTCTCGGGTTTTGCTTCAGCTCTGGAAGAGGGGTGTTGCAGTACCGGGGGTCTGGAGCTGCGTGAGGCCCACAGAGTGAGAAGTGAATGGTACGGTGCTTTCGCTTGCCGACAAATCAGCGACTGAGCAGCATGTATTTTAATGCAAGGGGACATATACGGCTATCAGCCGAGACTATGTCGATGTTTGTTTGAAGATGAGGAGGAGGGAATATGTCAGGAGTTGCAACTTCCTCTGGCTAGTACTTCAAAACACCGGTCATTGATTTGGAAATTGCTGGAAGATACCATCTCGATCAGCGGTAGAGACTCACAAACCAGGAACAGGCCGTATATCCCTTCTACTTCCGTGATATACACGGTACGAAAATGAACATAAGGTTGGGATTGCGATACCCTCAAGGTAGATGCCATCGTTCTTCATCAAACCACCAAAGCGTCGATTATCCGATCCTTAAAAAAGCCATAGAATGGCACAAATGATTGGGAGGACGAAAATCGCAAATCCAAAGACCAATCCCGCCATTTTTGCCAAGATCGTGAAGAATCCTGCGCAGGTCGCCCCTAGACTTTGGAGAATTGCAAACCAGCTACCAGCGAGGACATTCCCTATCATGGAGTGAATCCAGGCCGCAAAAGATCCTATAGTGAGTGGTATGACAGTGTTAGAACTTGCTTGATCTTCACAGACCCTGTAAAGAGGTTGTACGAACCGGCCCTGACACCAATTTGTGTCCATCCGAAGAGGGATAGAACACAGCCCATTCTAGTGACTCTATGAGGTCTATGAGGACTATATCACAGAAAGAATTGGTCCTTCGTTGAATACATGAGCAATATGCGTACTCCGTGTAGGATCGTACACACCTTTCGGGTTTCGAGTATTTTGGATAGCTTGGAAGATAGTTGGGGAGGCGATGCGCGTGGAAAGAAAGTTGAGGGAGGTTGCCACTGGCATGAAGGCTGGAATTGCTTTTTTATCTTGGACTCATCTTCTGAACTTCAACTTTTCGTAGGCCTCATTCCATCATGACTGTAGTACGCAAACGACGAAAGCCGACGACGCAATGATCCTTTCCGGAGCTAGATGCATGTTCCCGAGTGAAGCGAGAGCCTTTTCATGGAAACTGGCTCATGAAGTGACAAAACAGATGGCGAGATAGAAACACCGAGGGTTTCCCAGGTATAGCCAACAGTACGGCTGCTTCAGAACCCGAATCCCCGGGAGAGGTACGCCTAGTCAAAATAATAACGATCAAGAGCTGACACAATGCAGACCAGAGAATAACAGAGACCGATTATGTTATGACATTCTTGAATCCGACCAACACAGCATAAAACCGAATCAACATGGTAATAAGGTTGACACTTGTCTGATGGTGTTTTGTCTCCTCCTCAAATCTCGTCCCTTCCGCAACCCGACATCAGACACTCGGCACTGGAGATGCCAGTAAGGAGCAATCCGCCACCTTGAACAACTCCGTTGACAATTGCGGCACCATATCCGCCCATTGCAGCGCTCTGCGCAATAGCAAAGGGACTGCCAGCGACAACATTACCAATTACGCCCTGAGCTATGGCAGCAGCAGACCCTGCTTCATATTAGCACTTGATCTCCGACCACAACAGCATAAATGCTCTTCGTGTGTAGCTGACACTGACCAGCAACGGGCCCAGCAGCACCGAATCCCAATACGGCAAGAATTGGTGCAGTAACTATCGCGGGTGCAGCGACAGCGGCTAGCCCAGCAACGACAGGAATCAAAGGAATCTTGGGGGCATGGTCAGCACTAGTAGAAGCAGGGAAGGGAGTTAAAAGGCAGCAGTTTACCATCTTGAAAAGAGTTTTGTGCAGTGTTGAGTACGTTAAGCTTTTCTGTCGCTTTTTCTGGAATGAAGGTAGGAAAGAATAGACCGGCGACTTTAGGATGATTGTCGTTGTCCATCTTAGCACCCGGGAACTTGAGTCTTGCGTGGGAGTTTATAGAAAGTCAATTCTGTGACACCACTTGATGTCTTCTTACACAATTGTTGTACCTATGATGCAGCTAAAGTCAATCTTCGTTTTCACGAACAAAATCGTTTGCCTACAGACGAAAACATGAGAGGCCTGCCGAAACGTAGAGAAAGGTTGCTGATTTCGCTGTTCGTAGGCAAACGCTGTACGCATGTTTAGGCCTGGGCATAAGTTCGTTGTCGATGTGTCGGCCGCGTGATGGCAACCTGGAAGAATGCCCGGTGTTTCGATTGGTGACGATGTTGGTACCTGCAGCGCAAACGCAAGACTCAACCGTCCTCTGCCGGCTCCTGTTCCCGGGAGTAGTGTACCTACGTAACTGTGGTTGCGAGCCAAAGCAAAACCCCCTTGTCAAGTACCGAGCATGACCCACCACAGGCAAAGCTTCGTGGCTTTGTATAGGGCACTGTGTGATCAGCGATCGCCAGCAACCTGGCCCACGGATTTTGGTCACCCTGCTCACCGTATCGGATGTGTGCATAGTATGGTACAGTAGTAATGAGTCTCGGGTGTGTAGCCGCTCACGGGAAGTCAGCCAGGAGCAAGCAACGCTGGCACGGCCGGGAATGTGGTCGACACAGGTCTCGAATGTCGTTGATGGCTTCGAGTCAATGTCGCGTCCCAAACAGCTGGGCAGGATGAAGAATACAAACTCCCAAATCCGGACTCTGTGGTTCACTCTGTTGACGAAGAGAGGCGTGCTCGGTGTCTCACGTGATGCAGGAATGTTGATGCCTCAGTTCTCGCTTGTGAAAATGCCAAGAAAATCCTTGACATCTGATTAAGGGTTTTCCGGGGTTGAGTTGGCAAGGCATGCGGAGTCGATGACACCCGGAGAGGCAGTCCGGAGCTCAGTCCTAGGGACATTCGTTTTGACTCCCGCCTTGGTAACCCCACCTGACCATCACCAAGGATCTCTTTCCTGGTTGAGCGCAAACAAAGAACAGCTTGGACTTGATCCGGAAGTTGTGTAATGATGATTGCCCCTGAAGTAGGGAACGAATAGTGGAGGGCCATTTATTCTCGGATGGGGACCAAAGAACAATTATAAGTCTTGTTCAGACGCCCTTCATCTTTTGGACTCGTCATCCGTCCCTCGTTAACCATCCGGTTCATATCTCAGAATCCCACGTCCCAGACACCTCCTTAACAATCCACCCGATAACGCGGCACTGTCGACAAGTTTCTTTCAACTTGAACAAACCATGAATCTGGACAGCTACTCACGACTCATTTCCTCAGACCAAGACGAAGACGTCAAGGCAGAGAGTAGAGCTTGCACAACGCTATTGTCGCTCTTGATGCTTGTTGGGATCCTTACGTTGGGCGCAACGATGTGGCACGGGAACAGTTAAAGAACAGAAACCTGCGCAACTTCTTCGGTAGGTACTCAATCCGCGAACACTGCCAACGCATGCGATATCAGTCGTCCTAACGAATGGAAGATCCGTATTCGATGACCAGCGACAGCGACAGCGGACAGGATGGGATGGCCGATCGGTGGGTGACGTCCAATGAGAGCTCTCTGGTCATAAGTTGAAGGACGGCCGAGGCATGCGATGACAAAATCATACGTTGGATTTCGAATCACGGAGTTGATACCCAAATTTGTTGGATGGTCGAGGACAATTGTCGATTGCTGGATGACGATGGCGTTTTTGGAGTTTCGAGGTTGAACAGCCCTGCGCCGACAGCGTCAGTGGACTTTGGCTTTTGACGGAGTTTTTAGCGGGCTCCATTTGCTGCATGCCAGGGCACCAATGCGGGGAAGTGGAGTTGATTATAGCACAGGACTTGGCGTTTAGGTGGGGCACCTTGACATTGCCTCTAGCATGTACAGACCGCCTTTGGCAGAATCAAAAACGCTCCACTAAAATTTTCTCGGACTTTGCGTGCTGTGCACATGTCGGGTCGAATCTCGAGTTTCCTTGCTGCCGTCGAATCCTCGATTTTGGATTGCATCAATCACCATCTCCACATCCACCATGCCCAAAGACAACAAGCCTAAAAAGCGCGATGGCGCTCCTGCGATTACCGATGCTCGCTTCGCCAACTTCGAGACCGACCCGCGATTCCAACTGCCCTCAAAAAAGAACCTAAAGACCAAGCTCGATAAGCGTTTCTCCAAGGTCCTCAAAGATGCAGAGTTCACCGCCGTCGCAAAGGTCGACAGGTACGGCCGCAAGCTAAAGACCGACACCAAGAAGAAGGCTTTGGAACGACTGTACGAGGATGAGAGCGAGGACGACACAGACAAGGAGGACAAAGAGAAGCCCAACAAGGGAAAGAAGGACGAAGTGGAAGACGAGAGCGACTTCGAGGTCGAGGACGACGACATTGTTCAGCGCGAACTCGAGGCTGCCAACTCATACGACCCTGCCCGTGGCGGCGGTTTCTCTTCATCCGATGACGACTCCGACTCCGACTCCTCAGATTCCGAAGACGAAAAGCCAGAGGTTGAAGACGAGGCTGATGCGGAAACACGACCCGGCATCCGCTTGCGCAAGGATAAGGAGGCTGTCGAGGAAGGCGAGATCACAAACAGAGTTGCCATCGTCAACATTGATTGGGACCATATCAAGTCGATCGATCTATTCGCCCTCTTCTCGAGCTTCGTGCCCCCGGGTGGTCGGATCGAGAAGGTATCTGTCTACCCTAGCGAGTTCGGCAAGCAGAGGATGCAAAGAGAAGAGCTGGAGGGTCCTCCCCAGGAGATCTTCAAGAAGAAGAGTGACTCCGATTCCGACAGTGACTCTGAGGACTCTGATTCGGACGAGGCCATCAAGAAGGAGCTTCTTGAGGAAGGAGACGACCAAGACTTTGACAGTGACGCCCTCCGCACTTATCAGCTCGACAGGTTACGTTACTACTACGCCGTAATGGTTTGCTCCGACAAGAACACAGCATACAAGATCTACGAGGCGACGGACGGCAACGAGTATCTTTCTTCTTCCAACTTCCTCGACTTGCGATTTGTCCCCGACGATGTCACGTTCGACGACGAACCCAGAGACGAATGCGACAGCGTCCCCGCGGGGTACAAGCCGGTGGAGTTCGTGACCGATGCCCTCCAGCATTCCAAGGTCAAACTCACCTGGGATACGAACCCCGAAGATTACTCAAGAAAAGAAGCTCTCAAGAAGGCCTTCACCGGTAGCCGCAACGATATCGCCGAAAACGACTTGCGTGCTTACCTTGCGAGCGACAGCTCAGACGACGAGGAGGACGAGGAGGAGAAGGAGCAATTTGAGACCGAGGGGGCCGCTGCCGAGGAAGCAGAAGAGGAAAAGACATTGTCGAAGAAGGAGCTTGCCAGGCGCAAGATGCGCGCTGCTCTTGGTCTTGCTGACGAGCCCGTAGTAAAGTCCAAGAAGGATACTCCGGTGGGCGAGATGCAAATCACCTTCACGCCAGCACTATCCGCCAACGACAAGAAGAAGGGTGACGAAGATAGGGAGGAGACGACCATCGAGAAGTACAAGCGCAAGGAGCGCGAGAGAAAGGAGAGGAAGAGACAGGAGATGCTTGCTAGGAGGGAAGGTCGCGATCCCAACGCCGCTCCTCAGCAGGAGGAAGAGCAAGGCGACCAAGGCGAAGATCTCGGTTTCGACGATCCATTCTTCACTGCTGAGCCTGTGGTGCCTTCCAAGACGGCGATTCGCAAAGAGGAGAGGCTCAAGAAGAAGGCTGAGAGGGAAGCTGAGGAGGCTGCCAACGCCGCCGAGAAGGCACAGCTGGAGCTGCTTATGGCTGATGAAAACGGTGACAGTGGCCGTCTCGATCACTTCGACATGAAGCAGATCGCCAAGGTCGAGAAGGTCAAGGGCAAGAAGAAGGGCAAGAAGGGCAAGAAGGGCGTGGAGGGCAACGATGGTCTCCAGGAAGAGTTCGCCATGGACGTCGAGGATCCCCGTTTCAAGGCCGTCTTCGAGAGCCACGAGTTTGCTATTGATCCTTCTAATCCCAAGTTCAAGGCTACTCAGGGCATGAAGAAGCTCCTTGAGGAGGGCAGGAAGAAGCGCAAGGATGGACCTAGTGTTACGGAGAAGAACGAGAAGAGTGAGAAGAGCGCCAAGAAGGTCAAGACTGACGATGCGGATATCGATGGTCTGATCAACTCTGTCAAGAGGAAGGCGAAGGCGAAGGCGAAGAAATGATTGCATCACGGGTAGCAGCATATTAATGGCAAGTTTTTGATTTTTGTTGGTTCACATCTATCTGTCGTCCTCTCACTGTCCAGTCTTGTAAATGGTCCCTGTGTCAATGTGGTTTGTATTTAGGTCATGTAGGGTTGCTCCCTTTGTTTATGATGACCGTACCCTTTTGTGGATGAGGACAGAATCACGTACGGCCACCTCGCAACTCTTTTCCACTTCACAATGGCGGCCATAGGTCCATCAGTTCCTCATGGCCATGTGAGTTGGAGCTCTGGTTGTCGAGTTGTTTGCTTTTACCTTTCTCACTCTGTCTCCCCGAGAAAACAAGCTCGTGTGTCTGGCAAGACCCATGGAAAGACACTGGGCATCCGTCATTCTTCCCTCGACAGTTTGTGTTCGTCCTTTCCATAGCTACCCCTTTTCTTTGTCCTTCAAGTTTTGCGAGCGATTCTCAACCTCCGGCCAGTCGTCAAGGTTCCTCCGTCAGATCCACAACCGGAACCTCTTCCCCTCCCATCTCCACCGGCAGCCACTCCTCCACATCATCCCTCGTTCTCTTCTTGCCTGTAGACCCCTTTTGCTGGACCACAGTAGCCACACTCTTTTCTTCGACATGCTCGGCCTTGACAACTTTCATTGCCTTGGAAGACGCCAGTTTACGTTCGCTCTTTCCCTCGCCTCCATCATCCTGTGTCTCTTCGATCTTTTGGTCCACTGCGGCTCCACTGTTGCAGTCAGCATCAGGCATATCGATATCCTCCGTCGTAATAATCGTGTCCTTGTTCTTTGGCGTCTGTTTCTTCTTCTCGCTGGTGCGGGTGCCGCTTTCGTCTCGCTGCCTGCTGTGTCTAGCATCCACCACGGACTCCTCTCCTTTGCCATTGGATACCCTGTCGCCAACAACAAGTTGACCCAACTTCTCCAGATCCTCAACAACGATATCCGCCTGTCGCTTACCCGCCGTCTTGTCTTCGCACCTAGTAATCCAGCAAGCCGTTGCTCCAATAGCCCTTGCCAGGCCAAGGTATTGCTTTGAGCAGCAGGCAAAGAGAACTTCGTCTTTTCGCATTGCCGGGGAATCGGCCGCCACTGTACCTATTTTCGCGTCCGTTTCCTTGCTGGCATTACCTTCACCGCCGCCCAAATTTGCCTCCTGGGCGATCTGAGGTGTAGTACATCCAGGCAAAATGTCACCTTTCCAAACCCTCGCAACCGCCTCCCCCTCAATACCAGAAGCGTAAATCCCGCCCACCACCACCACCGTCGCTCCACCTACTGCTGCCTGTCTGCCTTGACCCTGATATCCCCTGGCCCCTTTACCAGCAGCCGTAACACCCATGCGCCTCATCAGTTCTTGGATGATCTTGACGCCCTTTGCCGGCGTTGCAGGCTGCTGCTGCTGCTGCTGCTTCTTCTTTTTGCTCTTCCCATCTTTGTCTCCGTCTGTGCTTGAGGTCTGCTCAGTTGAAGAAGAAGAAGATTCAAAGCCATCCTGCGCGATGAGAATAACCACGTTGACGTCCTGCTGCTTCATCTGCTTGGCGAAGGGCTCTAGGTCCGGGTAGATGTCAAATTCGGAAAGGAATTCGTGGGTGTAGTGGAGGTAGGCCTGTGTCCAGAGGGCGATTGCGTGTTGGTAGTCGTACTGCTGTTCCTCTTGGGTAGGTGTGCTTGGGTCTATGACTTTGGCTTTAGCTTTGCCTTTATCTTTGGAGTTTGATTTGGTAGTGTCTGAGTTGACTGCTTCTGCTACAGCTGAAAAGGAGTCCGGCTTGCCGGAAGTCTTAAAAGCACCAAGCTGACCGAGGGCTTCCCCAAGCGTAGCATTATGAGCAAAAGCATTGAGAATTGCGGTCTCACTTGGTTGTGAGGCGTTTGGGCCGAGAATGGCGGCGAAACAGTTCTGAATTGTGCGAATGATGATGCGGCGGCCATCAATGACGGTGTCATGGTGGAGAATAATGATCTTTGGCTTGGAGATTGTGGTGCCCTGGGTGTCTGTGGAAAGTGAGTCGGGAATGACGGGTGTGGTGGGCTGTCTCGACTTGATAATGAAAGACAAGTGAGCGGTAGGGCTTGGCGTGGCCTGTGGGCTGCTCGGCGGGGTGGTTGCTGAGGGGGTGCTGGGTGATGTACTATCTGTGTCTTTGCTTGGTGTGACGAGAGGAGATGATGATGGTATGGATGGGCAGGTGGTCGGTTCTGTATCGGACAAGGTGCGTTTGGAATGTGGCTTCGACGTGGTTGAGGGAGGGTTGGTTGCTGTGGTCGATGGCGTCAGGCTGTCGGTGATGGTATCAATGGAGGAGGCCTCCTTGCTAGAAGGTGACTCCATTTTGAGGATATTCTGTATGACGATTGTGTTCCTGAATATTTCAGCAGTCGGTTCTCGTTGCCGTATGTGGGCGATAAGAGGTGGACTGCGTGAGATCTGAAGATGGTATAAATGTCTGCGAAATAAATGCCTAGAACCGATGCGTGTGAAGGAAGATAACAAAGAGCACGGTGAGGCGTGATAAAGGCCTTCACTTTCTCGTGGCCGAGTCAAGTTTATTTAAAGGTGAAAGAGGTTGAAAGTTCAAAGAAACGTCCTTTTGAAGGATGAGGCCGCATTTTGTACTCGAAGATCACGGTGAATTACTCGTGCAGAATACGGAAATGAGACGAGAACGTGGACATCCTGGATCAGTTCTTTTCCATACCTCATGCATGCAAGAAAAAGACGCGATGACACAGGTTTGGCAGAGGTTTGCTCGAATGCAAACGGCGGGCTAATCATCTGGTGTCACTCTTCGGACATTTCTTTTTTTCTTCCGCGCCATCGTTATTTTTCTTCACCCACACGTGTCTTTCTGGGGAGCAGGACAAACGAATAGGAATAAAGAGATTCTATCAGTCAAAAGTAATAATTATGACGTTGGAAAACCTGCAACTCGGCCTAGCGAGGTTACTTTATGTTAGCATGGATGATGATGGAAGATTCGATCGCGGACACTCCGCGCTAACTTATCGAATGTACGCTTTCAGCTCAATTTTGAGTGGTTATAGCATTTACCCATGGCTCTTAAAGCTGGACAATACGTTTGAGACACACATTCACTATTTCTGCGGTATAGAGTGGCATGAACGAGAGAGGCCACGATTGAATGCAGGAAAGGCCAGAGGTTGCTTGCAAGTTGCGACAAGAAACTTCAATACTGCTCGTGAAACTATGGAAATCAGATGCAAGAACATGATTTTCCCAATAAGCAAAGTCATGGTAACATGGCATTCACTTGGGTAGAGTAGATAAATAGAGATAGATGCAAATAGTTTCAAGACATAATAGGAGGAGGTTTTGATATCACAGACCCTAACCCTGATGATGCTCAATGAAAAGACAGCTGGATCCACAAACGCTTCCACTTTCTGTCGTCATTCTTACCGGGTTCGGAGGGCTTTAAATTGTCTTGTTTACCAGATTGACAATTCTCCGAAAGTCTCAAATTTACAGTTCTTACCTCGTACATCTCCAATATTTTCAGTAACAATATAAGAAGATCTTCATTTTTAGTATTCTGAACCTGACGCTTATCTCGCCAATTACCCCACCATGACAACCTCCCACAGCCTCAAAGCGGCTGCACCACCAGCAGCTCCCCTCACTGCGGCCCTCACCACCCACCTTGCCTCCCTCCTCCCTTCCTCCTCCAGGGACAGCCTCCGCACCTCCGTCCTTCCCTCGCTCCTCACCTCCATCGCCGCCACCTCCACTGCCCTCCGCGCCGCCCAAGACGTCTCCCTCGCTGGCTCCTCTAACTCCTTCGGCGACGACCAACTCAACGTTGACGTGCTCGCCGAGGAAGCCATCCGGCTCTGTCTCGCCCAATGTCCTTCCGTCGTCACCGCCTCCAGCGAAGAGGACCCCATTGAGAAACCGGTGCAGCACACCGGCCTTCCCTTTCAGGTCGTCGAGGCCGAGCAGGATCGCACCCACGGCGAGGTCTACACGGTCGCGTTTGACCCGCTTGATGGGTCCTCTATCATTGCGCCGAACTGGACTGTCGGAACGATTTTCTCGCTGTGGGATGGCACGTCAGCGCTGGGTGCTAGTCCGAGGGACAAGCAGATCGGGGCGGTGTTGGGTGTTTATGGACCGAGAACCACGGCGGTTGTTGCGTTGAGGTTCCCAGGGGAGGAGAAGGGCGTTTGTTTCGAGGTTGGGTTGTCGGCATCAAGCGAGGCAGGGAAAGGGCAAGAATGGGATCTCATCCGCCCCTCTGTCTCTTACGCGCCGCCGCCTTTCAAAACGCGGTACTTCGCCCCTGCGAACTTGCGCTCGACCAACACACACGCGGCTTATGCCAAGCTGGTGGCGCATTACATGGCGGAGAACTACACGCTGAGATACTGCGGCGGACTCGTGCCGGATGTAGTGCACGCGCTGGTTAAGGGGCATGGAGTGTATCTGAGCCCGGTGACGGAGACGAGCAAGGCCAAGTTGAGGAGTCTGTATGAGCTGTTCCCGCTGGCGCTGGTGGTGGAGTGCTGCGGTGGGCGGGCGGTAGATCCGGTGAGCGGGGAGAATATCTTGGGGGATAAGGGAGTGGAGGGGTGTGATGAGCGTGGTGGTATTGTGTGCGGAACAGCGGAGGAGGTTGAATATGCTAAGGAGGTGCTGTGCGGTTAACAATGAGCAGTGGGGTGGTTGAATGGATTCTAGGGCCAAAGGACCAAGAGATGCATGCCGATGTCACAACGTCAAGTTGGTCACGAGATTATAGAGGCTCATCGTTCGCTTCTTTCGAGATGATGGTATAGATTATAGATTTCAAGAGTTTAGATAATAGATGACTAGAAAGATATCTTTACGTTACGCAAACCGAGAGGCAGACAAGACACGGATAGAGGTTTTCAAGAGTCTACCAACCGGCAAACCTACACGCTCAATGCTTTATTCAAATATATATATATAGACGAAAAGGGAGAGAGGATTGAACGTGCGGAAGTAAGAAATAGTACGGTAAAAAGGAAAAGAAAAAGTGTGGGCGGTACCGGATGCGGGCTGGTAACTTCTATTCTGAAGAAAAAAAAACATACAACACCAGGGATTCGCTGGTCGTCACCGACCCAACTACTAGTCTGGCCCTCACTGGCTTATCTATGGGAGAGCGGACGGGATCCCGAGTTTTCCAGTGGGTATGGTCGTATGTGCTTACTTCATTTTGAGCTTGACCCTATAAAGGAATGTTTCGAAGGAGATGGGGGCTTTGGAAGTAGAAGTGGTAGTGAACCATCGCGAAGTCGTTTAGGAGCCACAGATCTCAACACGACAGGCGATCAGCCAAGTAGTGTTCACCATTACACCAACGGACAACGGGGAGGTGCGGAAGCAAGTGAGTCTCATGCACCTAATCTAAGCCCTGGAACTGGTAAGAGTTGTGATGAAATGCTCAGTCAATGGCAAAAACGTTTTGCATAAATCTTCGCCCTATTGGCGGTCCTCAAACTGAAGGGTATAATATTCTAAAGAGTGTGTCCAAACCCATCCCTGCCCATCCTCGTAAAACTCGTGAAACCATCAAGTGTGGGATGCCACAACCGGTTCATCCCATCACATACAGGTGTGAAGAAAAACTCAGTGTCGACGTAGCTTGGCCAATGCTAGGTCACACTCTCAACCTTCGCCTCGTGACTCATCCCATGACATGATTCCAACCCTGTCTGCACGCGTGTTGAACGGCACAAGTCCAGTGGCACACCCCATGTTCATTTTCCCCCTCCAACATCCCCGACTCAAGCCGGGTCTATGCCTTAAATCCATCTACCTTGCGAGGGGAAATCCACCCGAATCTCCTCCATCACATCCCCCAAACTTAGTTGGCGAAAATAGCCCAATCCACGCTAGTAGGCTGGTCACCATTGCAGTTCATGTGTCCCTCAGCACCCACCCGCCTGTTGCTCTGGAACTTGTCGATCGAGTCTCTGGTAAGATCAGAAATGTCTCTGCTTCCGACATGGACAGGATAAATGCTGCTGCTCTTGACACCAAACACACACGTGTTCGTAATGACCAGACGGCAATAGCCACTGTTGAACGCCCGGTCGGACCAGTACGCGACATAGCGGCCCTGGTGCCCTGCATAGTAGTCGCGAATGGAGGCGCAGTCGGAGACGAGGGGCGAGTTGCCCGATGTCTTTCTGATGTAGCTCGAGGCGCCACAGGAGTCGGCGTACTGAGCGCCGTCGTTCCAGTCAAGACGCTTGGTGAGGGTGCCGGGGTTGAGGGATTGCCCGGAGGCGTCCATGTCGATGGAGCGCTTGAGGGCAGGGTGAACGAGAACGGTGACGTTCCGTCCGTCGCTATTGGTGAAAGTGTCCGCGACGTAGGCCTCGGATTCGACGATGTAGGTGTAGCCGTCAGGGCTCACGGCTGTCTTCACGGCAGAAGGCGTGAGGGGAGCGGCGGCGGCAAAGGCGCAGAGAGAGAGGAGGGCAGTGGAGAAGAGCATTTTGAGAAGAGGCTTTTGGGAATTTCGGGTGTAATATGGTCGCAAAAGGCTGCTGGAGATGTCTTCAGGGTCTGGCTTTGGTGGTGAGAGGCTGGATGAAGGAAGAAGCTGATGATGATGTTGATGAGAATATCGCCGTATCCTCGAGGAGCCTTGTCGTACTTATAGATTTTGCCTGGTGATGCAAACAACGCCAAGTGAATCTTCGATTCTGCCTCTTTCCCTTCATCATCATCATTTCCTTCCGTCATCGGAGCCACGTCAACAACGCCGAACTGTTGAGGACTCGTGAGGGGGCTTTGAGAAGTGCCAACATCGCGTATGCACGATCAAGTGACTGTGATAACGTTACCAGGAGCACACGTTTGCCGACTGACCCCAGCCTCCACGCAAACAGGACGGCGATGGTGAAGTTTTTCGAGAGTTGAAGTCGGGAGGAGCCAAGAATCCTGCAGACAGAGGTGAGAACGCAACGGAATGTAGCAGTCGAAGTTGATAGTTTCTCAGCCACATCAAGCATGAAAAAGGCCCAAACTCTCACGAACTCCGCTATCAAGCTCTTATTACTGATTGTTGGGTGTTCCGGAGTTACTGGAGAGTAGTACTCCATGATCAGAGTAGTATCCACTGGGTGGAAAGCGTTGCGATGAGGCTCGGCACCGGTGCTGTAGGTTGCCAGGTTGATGGCGATATCCGTCAACGGCAATGATAGGCACAAGGCGCGGCCCGAACCAGTATAGGCCGGGATGAGATCGTCACTGGTCTAAACCGAGACCCTGACACGATACCTAGTGTATACGCATTCGTAAGGGCCTTAAAACTTGTGTTTCCGCAAACTGGAGGCATCAGCTGAGTGTATCCCGGAATATACACAGAGGTGAGCTGATATCCAACAAACACATGTACGGTGGAAAATATCGACGGGAAAGATCAACGACGGCGAGCATCTCTCTGGGGAATAGTATTGATACTGTGCTCGACGCACGGCATGTCGCTTCAGGAACACCAATAAGACCCTTGATCCTCCTCCTTCACGTAGTGTAGACAACGTATCCAGCACGCCGTAAAAAGGGCCTAAAGGATCAGTACCGGCGAGTTTATCTCATAACAGCAAAATGGGTATGTGCCAGTGATGATGTAGTGGTCGGTGTGATCGAGACGCAGTCGTCTGGCAACTCCGTAGCAAGAGCCACGCCAAAGATGCTTCTAGTATCGGTATGATTTTGTTGCCAACGTTAATGGTAAAACAAACGAGAAAAGACCGCATCACGCTCGTAATTCGTTTGCGTGATCATGTTTCTGATGCCACTCATTAGTAGATGTAAGCCGGAGACGTTGCTCGTTGCTGCCCGTAACGTGTGGAATCCGAGGCGGCGCGGTGAAGCCAGAACAACGTTGAAGTTTCCGCCGAAAAGTGGCCTTGTTGCTGTTGGGATAATCGTATCTCGAGACAGCGACATGGTGTTGAACAAAAAGTTCGTGATAAGTGGAGGTTCATGAAGACTGCCAAACCAATGGCATCACCCCGTCGGCTCCCTACAACCCGAACGGACGGGAAGGGTTCATTCCTTCCATCCGGATGGCAGACCGACCCCGCAGATTGAATATTGGAGAACTTCCACTTGAGCTTCACCTTTTATCACGCGGCAGCTTTGGCTGCGGTCAATACTCTAGTGTAGGTACATACAGTAATGTCCCCTGTTATTGCAACACAATTCCTGCAGCGATTTTTCTTGCAATAAGTAGGGTGTTTGCAAAGGGGGGATCCTATGCACAGACCAGGAGTAGGCGTTTAAGCCACTGGAAGACGCCGAGGGGCCGGAAAAGTGGGTCGCCAAGCCCCAATATGAAGGTATAAGTGTTCACTCCCTAAGAAATCCGACCCCTGTTAATGCAAAAATCTAGTCATCACTATTGCAATTAGCAGTTAGCAGTCCCAGTATGGGTTGGTAAATCTTGCACTCACGAATCTGTGCAATAAGTAGGGTGCTAGCATTAGGGGGGGGTTGCAAAAGCAGGGGACATTACTGTACTGCGTACTGCTGTGGCACCGATGGATATCAGCGGAGGACGGGAGCTGAAGGTCAGCAGCGTACAGCGCCTTCTGTCAGCGCGCTACATATGTACCCGGGCCGTGCCACGCCTTCCCCTGAACAGGGACTCGATTCTAAAAAAAAAAATGGGGGCGAGGCACGGGTCGGTAACGGTCGCTAAATGGTCCCCGCCACACTACAATTGGACAACAAGATCCCGATGAAAATCCGTTCTCTCCGACCGGGCATACTGCCCCTGCCCCTGTCCAGAATTCCAACTTCTTCATGGAGTACGTATCACCAACACTCTTACTATTTCGACTTTATCGATTACACATACACCAACTTTGTCTTGTATCGTTGTGACCCAAAGACAACTAAGAAATCTGTGGCCTAACAGAGCTGCATTCACGACTCTGATTGCACATGATCTGAATCTGACTTCAGCATGACCAATACAAACTCAACCTGACACTTCCCTTGTAGAGTATTTGCCCCCTTCATTGGCCTTCTAGAATCACAAGCCTCAACGATGCCGTCCCCACAAGGCCGAACCCCGTGAATGCCTTGTCGTCCGATTCGATGGCTGCTGGAGTCCTGAACCAATTCTGCCGTTTGTTCCGATTCCGTCTTCCCCACCGACATTGACACACGCTGCGTGTATCATGCATTCCTCGCTGCTGCGAGTCCCTAAGACTTCTTTTCAATACTTTAGTCTTTTTTTTTTTTTTTTTTTTTTGCTTTTCTTGGTGATCTCCATTTTCGGTGTCATCCTGCCACTTCTAGTTCCTCGTTTTCACCACTCCCCGATTAGTGACAGTAAAGATGCGCGTGACCAGTGTACCGCTCGGGCTCCCGACTACGGCGAAACCCCTCTTTCGGTCCTCGGCTGCCCGTTCTGCGAGAATCATCACAAACACCACACCCCGGCGCCCACAATGTACATCGGCATGCGGACATAGGAACGTCAACCAGTCGCGCGCTTTGGCACATGCTGCTCGTCCTGTCGCCCGCATCATCCTCCCTGCGACATTTACCGCTGGCCAAAGGAGGAGAGCAACAACTGCTACCGCCGCAGCCGCTGTTCACAATGGTTAGCCAAACCCGGACCTCTTACCGGCGCCATCACTCCCGTAATGAGAGATCTTGATTTGACTCCTTCCTGTCCACAGCAAACCCAGAAAACCTTGGCCCCATTCAAGAATACGACCGTCGAGTCGCCAATGGGGAGCTACGAAATGACGACCATCAAAGAGGTGAGTGAGCATGCAACACTTGGAAGCTCAACCTATAGACGGAACAAGAGCAGCCGCTAACTAACGCACCTCATCTTTGCACAAACAGGAATCATCCAGAATCTCCAGCATCTCCACCAAGAACTCCGGAATTACGCGGCACCTCCCGTCGTCCACCCGACCCTCGAATCTCTAAAACCGCAAAAGTCTCTTTTCTCCTTCTTCGGCGGCAAGTCCAAGAGTGCCATTGCCGAAATCCCTGCCAACCTTCCCCGGGGGCTCTACCTCTATGGCGATGTTGGCTGCGGCAAGACCATGCTCATGGATCTCTTTTACGACACATTACCCCATAACATCAAGTCCAAGACGAGGATACACTTCCACAACTTTATGCAGGATGTCCACAAGCGCCTCCACAAGATCAAGATGCAATACGGCAACGATGTCGACGCCGTTCCCTTTGTTGCAGCCGACATTGCCCAACAGGGAAGCGTTCTCTGTTTCGACGAGTTTCAATGTACCGACGTCGCCGACGCCATGATCCTTCGCCGCCTCCTCGAGGCTCTCATGTCCCACGGCGTGGTGCTTGTCACGACCTCCAACCGACACCCCGACGAGCTGTACATAAACGGTGTCCAGCGCGAGTCCTTCATCCCCGCTATTGAACTGCTCAAGAACCGGTTGCACGTCATCAACCTGAACTCCAACACCGATTACCGCAAGATCCCCCGTCCTCCTTCCGGTGTCTACCACACCGCGCTCGACGCCCACGCAGCTTCCCACGCCGAGAAGTGGTTCCGCTTTTTGGGCGATCCCGAAAACCCCGAGCCGCACCCCGAGGTGCAAACTGTCTGGGGCCGCGAGATCCACGTCCCTCGTGTCAGCGGTCGTTGCGCCTGGTTCACCTTTGACGAGCTGATCGGCCAACCGACAGGTGCTGCCGACTACATTGAGCTGATGCGCTCGTACGACGCCTTCATTGTCACCGACATCCCCGGTATGACCTACCGTCAGCGCGACCTGGCCCGCCGCTTCATCACCTTTATCGACGCCGTATACGAGTCGCACGCCAAACTCGTCTTGACGGCAGCCGTGCCCTTGACAGAATTGTTCGTTTCCCGACAGGAGATTGAGGAGTCACTCAAGAAGCAGGGCAAGGCTTTGGACCAGACGCATTCTGTTGCGGATGTGATGAGTCACATGATGGATGATCTCGACCAGAATGCCGACAAGCTCTCCAAGTCTAACCTGTTCAGCGGCGACGAGGAAGCCTTTGCGTTCGCGCGTGCGCTGTCGCGCTTGACCGAAATGGGCAGCAAGATGTGGGTCGAGCGTGGTATGGGTCTGGAGGACAAGGGTGGTAAACCTGAGCATGATAGCTGGACGAAGACGAGGAGTAGGCAGATGGAGGACAGCATGTGAGATAACACGGAAAAGGAAGAGATGCGGTTGTTTTGTTAAAAGAATCGATACCCCGAAAGACAGGGCGACCGTCGCTCCACTTACATTACCCACGCGGCTCGTCTGTAAGAGACATGAGCCTGGAAAAAAAGCATGCGTTGGTGGTTATCGTCCTTCATTCAATTTTTTTTCTCTTCGGATCCTTTTTGGCGCTAATTCTAATGGAAGCGGACCTTGGTGCCGTTTCTCTGGCCGGTTTTGGATACTTAGCTTTATTATGTCTTAATAGCATGCTGTCCGCTCAGACGTGAAGCTGTGCTACGGCAGCATAAAGTTTGACTTGGACACTTCTTACAATCTTTCCAATAACACAGTATTATTACAGAGACAGTAGTAGAAACCCTCAGTATTGAACCGCCACTCAGCCCTGAGAGCTAACTTACTTACCTCACACTATCACCACTATGCCATCACAGACGCCCAAGTCTACATAACCGATCACACAGATAAACCCCGAGCGGTTGTCTTCCCTCCTCTTCCCCTTCAGCGAGACCACGAAAATACCGTTCAGTAAAGACCAGGAAACAACGAATACGGAACCTCCTTCTTGTATCGTTCCCACTGCTCCCCATACCTGCTCTGCATGTACTCGCTCATGTACACCGTGCTCCTGCTAACAAAGTGCCAGATATGGAACGCCGCCACGCCCAGGGCCGGGATCCAGCCGCCCGCCGCCATCGCGTACCCGGCCCTCCACAGCGTGTACCCGCCATAGTTGATATGGCGCGCCTTATTCCAGAGCCCTTCGCGGCAGATCTTGCCCTCATTGGCCTCGTCATCCTTGAACTTCTTGCGCGTGCGCTCCGTGAGGGTCTCGATCGCCATGCCCGTCACGTACATGACCGTGCCGAGTGCGATGGGCAGCGGCAGGGACATGTACGTGCCCGTGGCTGAGTCGAAAGTGAAGGGGATGGTGATGCGCGGGGTTGAGAGGGCGGCCGAAGTCGAGGTGCTCAACAACAGCAAGGAACCCATGGTGTTGACGACTGTGTTGAACAATGACACCTCCACCGCCGCAGCAGGGGTAAGTTCCTCTCGAGATAGACTCAAAAGCCAGTAGATCTGCTTGAGACTGGATCCCGCAGACATGAGCAACAGCAAAAGGCGCGGCAGGGGGAGGTGCCGGATGATGGACGCCTTGGTCCCCTCCGCAGTGGTCGTCTCCAACACGTAGTCGTACAGCGGGATCGACGAGATGTTCAGCTTGGACAGCAGGCGTGTGCCCCAGTCGCCCGCGAGTAACTTGTACTGTAGCAGCGGGTCGAGCGCGCGAAGGCCGATGAAGGTGGCGGTGCCCAGCAGGTTGGACTTGTACACGCCTCGCTGGATCAGGTCTTGAGGGTTCCGAGAGCCCAAGGAGGAGGAGGAGGACGGCGCGGTCTTGCCGCCACTGGTGCTGCTCTTGCTGCTGCTGTTGGGCTCGCTGGTGTGAGACTTGCCGTGAGACTCCGAGGCGGCATGTTGACTGTTGGGTTCGGCGTGGTGTTTGTCATTCGGCTTGCTGTCGATCTTGCCGTTGGCGGTCTTGTTTCTATCGTTAGCGTGTTCCGATCCCCTTCCCATGGAGGGAGGGAAAGCCTCAGCTGAGGACATGGTGGTGGCTTGGCTATAGATGAGTGTCTGCTTTTCGTTGGTGTTGTGGGACGGTGGGGTGTAGGCTGTTTGGTTTGGTCTTGGGTCGAGGTTGACTTCGATAAAGAGACAGGAGAAAGACTGGGAAGAACTGAGTTAGAGGTAATAGAGGGGTTACGGTTCTCGAATACTATATTAGTTTGTGTGCCCCTAACAACCATGCATGATGCTACACTTCATTCAGTTCACGTCAAAGTTGCTGTTTCCCCAACTCTGTTATAAGTTGTGCATGACCTACCTTCGTCTCCACCTGCCTTCGAAGGTCTCCACATATTTTGTACTTATGTTGACGATAGAAAGACCAGCTCGGTTACCAGATGGAACGAGATACCTCTACCCTAGACTGAAGAGGATGCAATCATTTTGTCATCCGTACCCTCCTTTTCTTCGCTTCAGGCCCGTCCGAGGAGCTTCTCAGGAGCTTCCTGGGTACTCATAAGCATCTCGGAGCTCGGACGCCATGGCGCTTCTCCGCTTCACCCCACTCTATAACGAGGAGTTAGCGTCGGATGGTGCTCAATTGTAGCGAGGAATGAAGTCATTGCTAGTGTCATCCCGCCATTAATTGTTAGTGTGCAGGGCCTCAGCGGACAAGCGGAGACCAGAAACCTTATCTTGACGGCTCGGTCCTGGCTTCCTCCGGTTCGTACAGGCGAGGGTTAGGTGCCCTGGTCTCTGCCGAAGTAATCGAACCCTCTGCCACCTTGATCCTGAACATATCGTCCTTTCCACTTGTTCATCTATTGTAAGGCAGCATAGTGCCGACGAGTCATGAAGCCCCAGTCACCCCTATCCAAAGTAAACATACTAAGAAAGTTAGATAACGAGAGTGAAATCAAAGTGCTCGGCCCGTGAAAAAGAAGGGATGCTCGCCATGTTCTTGAATACAATTCCGTCCGCCTATGAGGAATGCCGTGGTCAGATTTCAGCGGTGATATAGCCATGATTCATTTGCAAAAAGCAGAGTCGTAAGATACACGGTCTTATACATACAATTAAACCAGAATTGAATGAGACAGCAACACATGACCACCTCAACCCTCTAAATCCCGCGAGTGAAGTTCGAGGTCTCGTCAACTGCTCTTCAGTCTTGTTGCTTTCACTTGCTAGTTGATGCAAGGCCTGTGGAGAGCCACGCGTGCAGTGACCAGTGCAACCACGGGTTCGTCACTAGCGCCTTGGCAGGGGCAGATCCGCCCTGACCGCCCCAGGCAGCAGGGGCATCAGTGGAGCCTCCCCGCGCGGAGTGCTTATCGGGGCCTTATCAGATAGCCAAAGCAGCTTCCGAAACGGGCCAACGGCAGGCACGGGGATGCATGACACATCAGTCAGGTCTCCAGGCCGGCCTTGGAACAGGCACCTTGTTGGTCCCCAGGTCCCATCGCGCGGTGAGGCCCGGTCCCGTCTCTTTCCCATTCCGTCGCAGCGCATTCTCTTCATGCCATTTCCTCCCTCCTTCATCCATCAACCAAGTCAACAACACCCACTCCAAACACTATCGTAACATTCACCAACAGCCACAATGAAGATCTCAAACGCATCGCTTCTTGCGCTGCTGCTCCCCGCGGCAAGCGCCCGCTTCGTTGAGCAGGCCGAGCAGAACCGTGTCATGCTCTTCCCTGATGGCATTCCCGAGGAGCCCAAGTCGACGACGAAGTATCACATTGAGCTTTCGCCCGGAAACACAAGATGGGTTACAGAGGATGAGAAGTGGGAACTTCGACGTGTATGTAAACCTTGTCGGGGACCGGGGATTATCGAGCGAGGTACTAACAGCTGTTTTGCCCATAGAATGGTCAGCGCTTCTTCGACATCACCGACCATGCCGAGCTCGGTACTTTCAACAAGCGCCCCTCCAAGAAGAGTGTCTTCCCTAAGAAGCCGACGCAGAAGAAGGACCTCGAGCCATTGCTCAAGAATCTGTCCAAGACTGAGATGGAAGACCATCTCACCACTTTCACCTCTTTCCACACGCGGTATTACAAGGTATGTGCGCGCAGCATGGCTTATCAAGGCATGCCATTGCTCGCGACATGATAAGCTAACCCCGGCATGTCCATAGTCCGAGAGCGGACGTCAATCGAGCGAATGGCTTCTCAAGCAAGTGCGTGACACCATCAAGGCCGCTGGCGCCGACGACACCGTTACTGCTCGCCACTTTGAGCATGCTTGGGGTCAGAACAGTATCATTGCCACCATTCCCGGCAAGACCAATGCCACCGTAGTCATCGGCGCGCACCAGGACTCGATCAACCTTTGGCTTCCTTCCGTTCTCGCTGCCCCTGGCGCCGACGACGATGGCAGCGGTACCGTCACTATCCTGGAGGCTTTCCGTGTGCTGCTGCAGTCCGAGGACATTATCAAGGGCAACCACGAAAACACCATCGAGTTCCACTGGTACAGTGCTGAGGAGGGTGGTCTCCTTGGCAGCCAGGCCATCTTCACCACATATGAGAAGGCTCGCAGGGACGTCAAGGCAATGCTCCAGCAGGACATGACCGGCTTCGTATCCCGCACCCTCCAGGCCGGTGAGGTGGAAAGTGTCGGTGTTATTGTCGACTATGTCGACCCAAACCTGACTGATTTCATCAAGAAGATCATCGTCGAATACTGCGATATCCCCTACGTCGAGACCAAGTGCGGCTATGCCTGCTCTGATCACGCTTCTGCTTCCAAGGCTGGATATCCCTCGGCCTTTGTCATCGAGTCTGCTTTTGAGTATTCGGACAACCACATTCATACTACCGACGATCTCATCAAGTATCTCTCATTCGACCATATGCTCCAGCACGCGCGCATGACTCTTGCTTTTGCCTACGAGCTGGCCTTTGCCGACTTTGCCAAGTTGGAGAAGGGACACGGTGATCTTTAGTGAGGTATCCAAGTTGGCATAGGGTCATTATAGTATAGCGCAGCTCCATTTGGGATAAGAGCGGTTTTTGGTTGGGAATACCCATGTTTTGTTTGGGTTTATGGATGGTTATGAATAATAGCACATAGGATGAACATGATTATTAACTTGGTCCGGGGGTTGAGCTATTGCTCAGTGTCCCGCAGTTTGCTCCCAACGCCTGGTTTTCCGCACAGACTTTTCGAATACTACCTACCATGATAAGGGATCCTGCGCTCGTTTAAAAAAAAAAGAAAAAACTGCATCACTGAACGCAGAAGATCGGTCGTCCCGAGTTGGATCATTCCGAGTCCACATACATTCTGTGTAGTTGTTCCTCACTCCCCCCGCACGCACCCGTGCCGACTCGGGACCGACACCATCCCAACCCAACCGCTGACGTCATCAACAAGTGTTGGTGGTGACTTTTCACCTTTTAGGCGAATGGTCGTCCAATACAACGAAAGCTTGACAACATTGAGAGGTCTTGGAGAGATGAGTGTCCAGACCTTCACTTGTTTTTCATTATCCCCTTAGCTTTATGTGTTCTGGACAAATTTGGAAGTCAGTTCGAAGGACGTACTTGGGTCTTACAAAGTCTTGGCGCTCGAGCCAACAAGGTTCTCAACATCTTCCAGGCAGGTACTGGACTGAAAGCTATCAGAAACGGTTGGGAAGGCACTTTGCAGGGTCCATGTCCTGTCAGGAGCAAAAGCCCCGAGCTCTTGAAAGTGCACTGATCTCGTTCATCATGACACTTGCCCATAGCCCTAAGTGGCACGCTTTTCTTTGGACTTGTTCCCTTGCTACTCCCGGAGACTAAGCTAGAACTTCCAGTGGAGGACTCATTGTCCCAACATTCCATCTCTTGTCTTGATCATCATTGCACACCTACTACACAACTAAATAACAAAAATCATCATCAACCACCGTTTCTGTATCTCTGGGCCACATATATATTGCTTCCACAAACATTCCACGAACATTTTCACTATGACCAAATCCAAGTTTCCAGATCACATCTCGGATCGTATCCTCGACCTTTGCACATCCTCTGAAACCGTCTCTTCACTCCTCGCAAAAGAACCCAGTCGTTCCCCCAGCGATGCCTGGAACCAGCTTTCCGGCCGGCATGCTCTAAAGAAAAGGTCTCTAGGCGTCAACGAGGAGGAGAAAGAGGAAGAGAAGAGTTTCAGCGGTAGTGAAGAGGATGATAGTAACGGCCAGGGTTCAACAACTTGCTACAAGTCACCACCCACGCCACCTCATTCGCCTCGTGTAGCCCAGGAACACCTTGATCGGGCTGCGAAGTGTGGGAAGTGGGGCGGGAAGAAACCCAGTGAACTTTTTCTGCAGGTACTTAATTACTTCCTGAGGCATGTTATATGGTTGATGGAATTGATGGGAGGCCGCTGACAACTTCTGTGGCAAGATATATCACGACGCACTTTGCACACTGGACGATGATCCCCTCAGGGGTATGGTCAGCCCGCCGCTTTTGGGGACCTGCGGTACTGTTCCGTTGACGATAATTTCCGTGTACGTGAAGCTATCAACGCAATCCATCCTATTTCTAGAGCACCTTTTAGCACGTTCTTAAAGCTGTTGATGTTAACTAACCATCGACCTGAAAGCATCCCCGACATAGCCCGCCACATGGCCAACCTGATCTACCGGGCAAAACACGAAATCTTTTTAGCAACAAACTACTGGCAATCAAGCGTTGCCTCAACCTACCTAACAAACGCCATAAGGGACCTCAACCGACGTCTTGCCTCCGAAGCCCACTTATCCTCTGGGGTAGAGTCCCAGCCACAAAAGAACAAGATAGTTCTCAAAGTCCTCTACGATCGCGGAACCCCCAAACAACTTCTCTCGCCCCACCAGATCGTTTCTCCAGATACCTACACCGACGCCTCCACCGTCGGTCTTCCCCATCCAGACGATATCCCGTTTATCGACATGCAAGTGATGAACTATCACACGCCCATCGTGGGCACGTTTCACGCCAAGTACATGGTGGTGGACAGGCGCGTGGCAGTGTTGCAGAGCAATAACATCCAGGACAACGACAACCTGGAGATGGCGACGCACTTGGAGGGGCCAGTGGTGGATTCGCTTTGGGATATGGCAATGATTAGCTGGTATAAGCACTTGGAGCCTGGGATGTCGTGTGTCAATTCGCCGGCTAGTGAGGCGTGGGGGAAGGAGAAGGAAGTGGAAGAGACGGGAGTGGGTCAGATTGAGAGGAAAGTGGAAGTTAAGAGGCTTGCTGTGACCGAAGAGCCACCCACCACTGGGACGACTACTCAACCGACTGTCACTCCCAAGGTTCCCCGACACACAACCGAAGAGCCTCACTATGACGCTTCCATAGCGGCCGAAGTCGCTCGTGTTCAAACCTCCTTAGCATCCAAACGCGATCCAGGCAGAAGAGTCATCGAAACACACCTACAAGCTGTCACTCGTCTCCTCAACCACACTCGAAACCCCAACTTCACGGCCGACCCGCTTGCCCCGGACCCGGTCACTAACCCAAACAACAAAATGACCCCTTATCTGTTTCTTCCTCATCACCAAGCCTCCATTCAAGGACAAGACCAACACCCCGAGGCAGTACCAATGGCCCTAGTCAACCGCGCCCCTTACGGATTGCCGAACCACTCCTCCGTCTCCAACCCGCAAAATGCCGCCTGGCTCTCTGCCCTCCGCAACGCCATCCACTCCGTCTTCATCCAGACCCCAACTCTGAACGCCGCTCCTTTGCTCCCCGCCATTCTTGATGCTTGCAACCGCGGCGTCCAAGTCACTTGCTATGTATGTCTGGGGTACAATGACGCAGGTGAACTGCTTCCTCACCAGAACGGTCACAACGAAATGATTGCACATCAGCTATACTCGTCACTCTCGCTTGGAACGAGGCAGAATCTGCATTACTACTGGTACGTGGCCAAAGACCAGACGAAACCGCTGGTGCAGTCCAAGGGGTTGAGGAGCTGTCATATCAAGTTGATGGTTGTGGATGGGCACGTGGGCATCATGGGGAATGGGAACCAGGATACACAGAGCTGGTTTCATAGCCAGGAAATCAATGTGATGATTGATAGTGAAGAGGTTTGTGGGACGTGGATGAAGGGGGTTATGAGGAATCAGAACACGGCGATATACGGGGCGTTGGATAAGGAGAAAGGGATGTGGGTTGATGCGGAGGGGAAAGAGGCGGATGGGGTCATTGGTGTTGATCCGGGCGGGAGAATGAAGAGATGGGCTAAAGGGGCGGTAGGCGCGGTGAAGAGGGTTCAGGGGATTGGAGGGTTTTGAAGTTGTGGTTAGGAAGTATGGGGTGTGTTTCGGGTGACGAGTAGACCTTTTTGCGTACGGTCGCGGATCAATGGCTGGATATTGAGTATTGGATTCAGCAAAGTCTGTAATGTTGATAAATCGAGGGACTGTGTACTAAACTGGAAAAGAAGACAGATATCTGCTTGGATACCTGCCCTATGCAATAGAGGAGTCTTTGACTTCAAAGACCTAATGAGACCACACCAAAGGAAAAGCACACTCCGAAGATTGTGAAGAAAGCCACAAAGGAGAAGAATCAAAACTCGAAGGGATAGAGTACAAGACACAGAGGATAACCGAGAAGCTTCAGTAGAATCATTCTCCTTTCTGAAGGTCCCACAAACAGACAGGTTATCACCGTATCCGTCAATCCAAGACTTCGCTCTTGATGATCAGCTTGCCCTTGGCAACCGCTTCGGTCTTCACGTCGGCTTTCTTGCTTGAAGTCGTTTCGCTTGAAACAGCCTCTTCTTTGAACACAGTAGCCTCAAGGGTGAGACTAGCAATACCCTCAATCACGTCACCAACAGCGTCATATTCCGAAGTACCGGAATTACCAAGGCGAATACCAGCAATACCCCTCGCAATGAGATCCTCGCCAGTCAGATAGCCACTTACTTCGCTCTTCGATTTCTTCGCATGGTCACCTCCAACCGTGTTAGACTCCGGCGCCCCCATAACTCGGTCCATGGCAGTCTTCGACACCTGCGCATAATAAACCACCAGATTTGCTTCCTCTAGCTTGCCGCACTTCTTGATGATACTGCGGAACGTGGCGTACCAATACAACCATCGATCCATGTGCATTCCAGGCTCTCCTCCGTACATGACACCGGTTGGCGAGCCCCAGTCCCAGATGTAGGACGAGTTCTTCCCGGACTTGTCACTTGCGGGATTGTCCCAGTCGAGCGCCTGCTTCCACAAGAGATGCGCGGCAAATGTCATCCACTCCGCGGCCGACGCCATGAAGCACTCCTACTGCTCGATGGTGACCGGGTGAAAATCTTCGAGCGCAGCGCGTAACACCCAAGTGGCGTTGGGAATGATTCTGTGGAGGCCTGTGGCTGCGGTTCGAGCTTGGAACGAAGAGAAGTTAATCCAGTGCCACATGACTTGTTGATCTCTTTCGTCGCGTGGGTAGGCTGTTGACGATTTAGATGTCAGTCGAGTTACAATCTCGAAGAATGGTCAACGGGTTGAGGTAAGCGGGAACACACGTAGAACAAACTTGTAGAGAGAGTCCGAGAAGTACGGCAAGGGCTCCCACCACGTGAGACGGCAAAAGGGCTGTAAATATGACAGGCGATGTTAGTAGCATTCGATGAGACGTATGTGAACAAAAGAACGAAAGGGGAGAAAGACACATGGAGAGAGACGCAAAACAAACATGCCAGTGTTTCAGGGTCATCGCGCTCGCGGGTCATCCATTCCTTCTTCTCCACCTTCACATCTGCTTCGCAGAGGTCTGCCAGCTTCTTGATGAGGTTCTGGAGTCTCTTTTGGGCAGGATGCCAGTAGGGTATATTCTTCGCGATGTCGAAGAATATGCACCAGAACTCTCGCATCACTCTTGCGGCTGGGTGCTTCAACTGCATACTACTGATGGAGGACAGGGAGCGCGTCGTCGTGTCGAACGACATATGGTTTTCTGGCACAGCCTTCCATGGCATCAGCGCGTTAAGAGCGTTAGTAGTGGCTTGAAGTGACACCACGCGAGGGTGATTCAGGTGTGCGATTAGATGCTCCATGGCGAGCTCCTGATTGTCTGTGAGATTCACATCACAAATCCAGAGATTTGGGAGGTAGGGATCCTCTTCTTCCAGGGCGGCAAAACTCATGCGATCTGAATCTATGGCCGATTTGTTCGAGATAATAGTCGCGCCGCTTGATGAGTGCCTATTTCCGCGTTCCAACATGCCGACTTGAAGTAACGAGTCGGTAGGGTATAAAATTAATCAGAGATGATACCAGATAGTATCAAGACAAGGTAGAGAGAGGTAGAAGCGCGGTGAACGAGCGATAGTTCTTGACTGCCTGCGAAAATATATTACCTTAACGACGAGAAGAAGGGAAAGACTTGGAGGCCCAGACGGACAGAAAGTGAGAGGAAGGTGAAGGAACAGATCAACCTTGGATTTTTTTTTGCTGCAGCAATTCCTCGTGGGCAAGCGGCTAACGTACCGCTCGAGGACTGGACCCTAGAGTTGCCTATCTATCAAGGTACCCAATATGTAACACATAAATACTCCTTCCCTACCTATCTACCTTTTTCCAGGTTGCCAGGACCGACCAACCACTTACGGCATTGCAGACACCTGTGGACGGACACGTTCGGGTACCCTAGGATAAAAGGAACCTCAAGCTCTGCATGATCTGGGAAGGCACAAGCAGTTGGAAACGGGCAGTCATCCATTCCAGTTACTTTGTTCTTCCACTTCTTGTGGTAACCAGAATCTTTCCCGCTCAATTCCTCCTCCTTTGAGTCTTGGACAAACCACGGACATTATTCCAATTACCCATCCCACTTACAATGTGTTTCAGTTGTTTCTTCGGGGCAAAGGCTTGCTAAAGACGATAATCCAGACATTTCAATATCTGTCTAAGGTATCCTCTTTTCTCACACGGCATCCTTTGGAGTATCGGGTGTCTCCCAGGCATGCTATCCACATCGTCACCCCAAACTACTCCCGCAGAGAGCCCAAAGAGCGATAACAAACGAAAACGCAGACCCCTGACATCATCGCCATCGCTTAGTGAGGCCATTGATCCGGATACCCCCAGCAGCGCTTCAAGTGTACGTGCCGTCAGAAAGCGTGTCAAGGTATCTAGTGAATCTCCCAGCTCTGGAGAGTCGAAAATGGAAGACGAATCCGCACGGGTTTCTGACGACTACGTCTCGGACACCTCCGTGTCGAAGATCAGCAGCCCTAGCTACGCTACAGTCACGACCGAGATCCACACTGAGTCGGAGTTTGTCATTGAGATCAAGCACGAGACAATACCCGAGGATCCGTTACTCCCTAAAGCCATGAATGTGTGCGTCATGTGCGACAGGCCAGCAACTGTGCCGTGTATGTGGTGCGGCCACGAGTCAGAGATTGGCTGGTGTTCAAGCTCCCATGTTGTGGAATTCGAAGATATACACTCACCCCGGTCACCTCTTTGCCTTGAATTCGCACACGAGTTCAACGACAGCCAACGCCCGGGTCCTGATTATCGTCGCCTTGTTTACTTTCCAGTCAGAAACCATACCAATCCAGTCTGCTGTTAGGGTCGGCTCGAAGAAAATGGTGCGGTTTCATCATCGCTTTTTGTCCACGATCCGGAAATGATTCAATATTGGAATATGAGTGGAGGTCTGGAAGCGTTTGACACCGACTACCAAGTCATCACCCCGAGAGATGTCCCCGTGACCACGATGAGTAACTTCGTGTATGTGGCATCCTATAGCCTGAAGGGTATGTTCAGTGCAGAGGAGGTCAATCAATCCCTGGCTGTCCTAACCAAAGGACTTATCCCCTTTATTCCTGGGACGGCGATTATTGCGGCACTGTCATGGTCTCCTGAAAGGACATCGCCCCTCAATCTCGAGGATGTCACCGGCCGTGACATTGTATTTGCACTAGACAAATTGAGGTTGGAGAATGTTGGGGTGTACAACCCTGACCCACGTCGCAATAACCTACCTTCGGTGCCTGGTATCAAGATCACCGACTTTAACAACCCATTCTTCGCGCGTGCATTTGGGGCTGATCATGGAATTGAGAGCTTGCAGCCGGTTCAGGTCTTGGAAAGAGAAATGCGCTATAAAGGGCATGAGAAGATGTTTGGCTGCACCATTCCCTTTCTCCTCGGTTTGCCTTGGATTACGCGTGCCGATAATGACCCTCGGTGGGAGATAGAAAGGAGGAAAATCGAAAAGCCAATCAATCTCCGCTACCTGAATTTTCAATTCGATGCGGGAGACGAGCGGCGGATCTTGGAAAATATTCGGTTGTCTAACGACGAAGATTGGCAGGCAGCACCGTGTCACTACGGAACCTTCGTTCTCGTACATTTGCTGGGAGTCAAAATCTACCCTTACCACATTTCGGCCTTATGCGACTATCTTGATTACTGCTCCGAATTCACCACCACTCCGAGCAAGGAAGGGTTTCTTGACTCTTGGCAACAGTGGTGTCAGGCGCATGACGGAGATCGGGACAAGTTTATCTCACCTTACGATACTGGCAATCTAGAGGAAGCGGATCGTCCCGACGATGGCGCCAAATCACCAGCCAGGAATTTGTAGGGCGAATTTGGTGATTGCCTGATCAGAGATATCGAGGATTGTTCTGCCGTCATATTTGAAGATCTTTGGCCGGTTATCTTTGGAAATGCATTGGCCCTTGATGATTCGACTTGTGGGTCTACTCCAAGCGACGGCGGCGGCGCTTCGTCGATGGAACCCCTTGGAGATCTATCATTGCGCGTCAAGCCATCGACCTTTGCTGGTTTGGACGGCAAACCTATCGTGCCATCCATTGAGGACGAGTCGTTGCGCGCCGAATCCCGATCACCACCTGTTTCAAGACGGTCGACTCCCAGTCCGAGCCAACTCTCTGATTCCCCCTTATTGTCGTGATAGAGTGATGTTATGGGTAATATCCCTCGGCGTTTTGGTTTGGCTGAGCTGGGTATCAAACACTTTGTGGGACCCGCGTTCCTCAAAGAGAATAGAATTCTATCAAAACACTGTGGTTCCGTTTAGCATGCAATGCATTATTATGGTGGAGAGTACGAGGTATGGATGCACTCAGGATGTTCAATGAATTATGTAAGGGCGGAAAGAAGAGCTTTCTGTCCCTCAGTGCACACACAGTCTACCGTCGTGCTGGCTGTGGAAAGTATTGAATAACAAGAATCTTAGATATCTTTCTGAGGACGAGATCGCCATGGATTTTCCTGAACTTGAACACATTCAAGGTTCCCATATATGTTGTGTTCGTAGCCGAAGTGGTCGGAAACATATGCTTGGATGCGTGATATGAGCGTATTAATGTGTAATGTACAGACTGTAACGTGTTCGATTCGTTCTTATTCTTACACCCATTTGACCGTAATACAGCCGGGCCGGGCCGGGCCGTGGTGGGGCCGCGCAATGACGTGAAAAATGGAGCATGCAAGCCGAAATATCGTAGAGATCCCGAACGGGTCAGGCATGTACATGAAGGACCTAGTAGCCGATAACAGATAAAGTATAGATGGCTAGGTTCGCAGGATTCGCTATATAGGAGTTGTCATTCTCTCAGGGCATCATCCTGACTTGAAAGCGGTGGAACGGTTGAAACTGCTATCTTTGCTGTTTTGCCCCCTTTCTTTACAATGTCAGCGTAGGGTGGCTACACTGCGCTAGGCTAAGCACAGAATATAGCTTTATGGTTTGCACAAGTTACCAACAATTTCAAGGGCTATTGGTCTAGGGGTATGATTTTCGCTTCGCATTGTGCAATGCGCCTTGTGAAAGGTCACCGGTTCAAATCCGGTATAGTCCATTGTTTTTGCTCCTCCCTGCTTTTTTTACCATTCGCGAATATTTCCTTTTGCAATCATAATCCCACACCTCTTTTTCGTATGTGAAGATGTGACAGGTAGAGGATGATGGGTGTTGGCAATGCCAGGGTTGTTGTATACTGACGGGGAGATGCATGTCACGGCGGGGTATTTATGAACACTGGTATCAGTCCTGAAACTGTTTCCACAACATTCAATTCTTCCACGGATACTACGCTACTCATCGCATCCGGGATTCTCCCGCAGTTCTAGCTACATATATCGTTTGACTCAAGTTGCGTAGTTTCTCAAGGCCGGCTCTCTCAACAATTTGGTAGGGAAAGCAACCAATCTGGCGCCCGCAGTGGTAAGGAGTCCCTCCGTCTTTGCTCTGTCCGTGAGCTGCAACCCTGGCGCGACCACATTCGAACAGGTCCTGAACATCTGCGACCTAATTCTGCTTAGGCTCGCGGGCCCTCCATTCTTCAGCGCGTCGAGCGTCATTGCCGCAACGAGCGGGTGCGCCATCAAGGTCGAGTGGCCATATTGCCCACCGCCAGGCGTTAGTCCGCAGACCGTTTGCACCTCGACGTTCGTCACGCCCTTGTTACGCGAGTCTCCCATCCTCGCCGACGCCGTCAAGCCAGCTTGCGGCTGGACAACCTCGTCAGTGAGACGTGACCAGAACGAGGTGGTGGGCACATGCGCGTCCCCGCCGCCCGCCGCCCTGAGGGTGTTGATCAAGTTCGAGCTGTACAACTGCTGGAGCACCGACGGCGGGCAGGGCGCTCCCGCCTTGGCAACTTTCCCGAAGTTGCCCGCGCACAGCCCATACGCCAACATGGTCCCGTGGAAATCTGGGCTGACGGAGATCAGCTGGCGCACTTTTGGGACGGTGCTCGGCCAATAGGTCAACACCCATTGCGTGGCCAGATTACCCTGGGACCAGCCGATCACGTTCAAGTCACGGTCGTCACCGATGAGCGCCTTGACGTAGCTGATGGCGTAGGCGATGTACTCGGCGTTCGACTGTACGTCGTCCAGCATGGCGTTAGGCACGTTGACCCAGACGGCGTCGGCGGCGCCGGCATCGGTGATGACTTTGAGCAGGTTGTCGGCGAAGGATTCGTGGCCGTAGGCTCCGGTCCCGGGAACGAAGAGGACTACTTGGCGGTTGGTGGACGAGTTGAAGCCTGATGGCAGGTAGATGGCGGCGCGGAGGGTCGCCTCGGGGATGGTAAAGGCGGGATCCGCATCTGAGGACCGAGGGTAGCCAACCCCTGGGACGTCTGGGTTCCGGTTGTTGAAGCTGTCGCGAGGGTCGGTAGGACCGACTACAGGTGATTGGCGAACGACCTTGTCCCAGACAACGCCGGCGTCGTGTAACTCGTCCCTGTGAGAAAGCTCTCCGATAGCCCGGACACTTTCGTGGTGCACTGGCTCGGATGTTGTGGGGAGGCCCAAAGCGAGTTGAGCGAACAAGGTGATGGTGCTGAGGAGCACCGCAGAACTGGAGGTAAGGATCATATTCTCTAAGCTCGTCGACCCTGGGGGTCTCGTAAGCTGCGAATTGAGAATGGCTTATCGAGCTTAGGTTTGGCGACTAGACTGAGGAGAGCACCAGATTATATATCAGTGTCCCGAGTCCCCAGGTCCTGGGATCTCCAGACATCCTAGTGGCCGTATCCCGGGCTAGCTTGCGAGCTGTAAACTCAACTGGCGATGGCATCGATCCCTCCTCCTTTTCCTTTCTTCTGTCGATGGGGAATTATACATTACAGCCGCGGTCTAGCACTGGGCAGTCTCCGCATGGAGAGGGGTGAGGTACACAATCGGTGAGGATTCCCGCAACAATGACCTCATGCCTCTGAATCCCTTCTGTCAGGTGTCCCATTCTCGAAACCATTCACACCGGAACCTGACATCCCCTTGGGGTTCCGGAGTATCTAGGCTGGTGCTCTTCCCACACCGTCCGGCAAGTTGCGAAATTAAAGTGACGCTAATCGTGATCTAAAAAGTCTGGGGAAGGTAGCAGTCGCAAGCCATGCCCACTTGAAGAATAGGTGATCATCCCTCGTCCCCATCTGCCTCGTGGATGAAGAAATCCAGAACCGAAGATCCCAAAAGTGCACGGTCAGCCAAGATCGCAACACGAGCTGAAACCAAGGCTGCCGAGGTCTGCAGAAACTGAAGAGAGAATGCATGAAGCTTTTATGAGAGCCAAGACAAATTCTCATTCTCATGTTTTTTCTAGCATGTTCTGCTTCAATAATCACACAATAGTCACACAATAGTCACACACACACTCGACGTCCTAAGGAACGGGATTCGAATCTCCGGAAGATGAAACGGCATATAATCTTTCCCCACCTTGCCCGAACGGCTGCATCACATTGGTCAAGTTCCCCTACATCTTGGCGCGGAATGCGTTCCGCTGAACAACAACCGAGAAGAGAGAAGAACCACATGAAACTATCATGAATCTTTTCGCAAGCTCTTCCAAGCTTAGGTCAAGTTCGCTGTAGAAGTAGGCATAAAAAGCAAACAAGTTTATCCAGTCAGCCAGTAAGCCAGCCAGGCAGCAGAAGAAAGAAGTAAAGGAAAAAAGACACACACAAAAAAAACATCAGAGCAGAAATGTTCAAAAAGAGATGCGGTTTGTGTGGATCGAACACACGACCTTCAGATTTATGAGTGAAGTGGACTTCAGTCTGACGCTCTCCCAACTGAGCTAAACCCGCTTGATTGGCTTAGCGAGGCATGTATTAAGTTTAAGACTCGCCAAGAGGCACCCTCACTGCGGCTTAGTAAAGCAATCAGAGATTTCCTATCGAGTGCTTTGATTTATCATCTGGTGCACATGTGCGCTGGCCCCGAGAGCCTCGAAACTCTTCCCATCTGTAGAGAATGTTCAACTATCTTTTTACGCTCGTGTCCTCATCCTTTGAAGCAGGAGAGCGATTGAGATTGTCGGAAAGCGGTAGCATTATAGGAAGTTGAAGTTATAGAGTAGTGTGCATTTGGGACGTACAACATGCTAACAGAACAGTCCGTTATCTGTAGAATCGTTGGTGCAGCTATGGTCAGGTTCAGTTTTCCCATCTATTATACACAGGAGGCACTTCTACTGTCTTTGCATGTGCTGTGCAAAAGCCGTTCATGGTTTCCCACAACAAGAAAAAGCATGTCTCTCGTATCAAGACCCACAAATATATTATCGTAAAATTACAAAAAACAAAACACATAACTTGCCCGGCTGGCGCAATCGGTAGCGCGCAAGACTTCTATTCTCCTTCGAGATCGCAATCTTGAGGCTGTGGGTTCGAGTCCCACGTTGGGCTTTTTGCTGTTGTGGTGGATTGGTGGTTGATCACCTGGGGTCCCTGGTTGTCCTGAACGGGTTTCCCCTTTCTTTTTTTGCTCGGTGTCCAGGATGATGACTTGACAACAACGGGTCGAGGCAGGCACTAACCCCGATACCATGAAGGATCTTGAATTCGGCACTTACTTCCCGGCTCTCCACTGTCCAGTAGGGATTATGCAAGCAGGCCATGCATTCAATGGCCATCATGTTCATGACCTAAACCTATTCCGACATATTTGAGTTCAGGCCGGTATATGAAACAAAAAAAAAAAAGAAAACAAAAAGGATTGAATCTTGATGATGGTTGACCAGATTGCACAGAGGACCTTCATGTCATAGACCTCTCCAATTCTCAACGTTCACCGTATCAGAAACCCCTCAGACATACCTACTCA